ATAGTCCATAACTACAATGATGACATAAAATAACAACAATGTAACCAAAGGTAGAGTAGGAGACCAATTCACTGAAAATATTCCAACACCGGAATTATACAAGGCGACAGTTTAAGGCGCTGATTTCTCTGAACACACGTCAGCGGCGACGGACAACGGCTTCCGTCAACGTTTGAATGCTATGCCTTAAGGTCGATTCAGACACATCAGTCACGTCTCGTCACAGTACTGGCGCCGAACCGAACAATCATGATCATCTAGCCGAATTTTCACATCCATTGTTGGATATAGGCCTCCTCCAAACGTCTCCAGTTCTCTCTATCTCTAGCTGCTGCAATCCAGTTTGTTTCTATCCTCCTTAGGTCGTCGGTCCATCGGGTGGGTGGTCTGCCTCGACTTCGCTTGTTGGCTCTTGGTCTCCACTCCAATAATTTCTTCGTCCATCTTCCGTCTTCCATTCTAGCAACATGTCCAGCCCACCTCCACTTTTGTTTATTGATTCGCAGTATAATATCGTCTACGCCAGTTCGTCGGCGCATCTCCTCATTTCTTACGCGATCTTTCAAGGTCAGGCCCAGCATTGATCTCTCCATTCGCCTTTGTGTTACCCTCAGTTTTTCGGCAGTAGCTTTCGTTAAAGTTAAGGTCTAGTTAAGGTTAAGGTTAAGGTTAAGGTTAAGAACCGAACAATCCGTCATACAAAATATTATTTTATAGAAATATGGCGCCGGCATTCACATTCATCAGGCGACGCACAGTTTCCCAGCTATTAGATAGTTGATAGTTCTGTGACCAAACAGGACCGGTTCGGCGCCGAGACTATGACGGGACTGATGTGTCTGCATCGACCTTAAAAGTGTATGCACATGGTTTCTCAGACACGCCAGTGATTTGCTGACAATCGATCAAACGCAAAAACGTGTTACCACTTCGGAGACGCTTTTGACGATGATACGGCGCGATCCGAAGGATCTTTTTGATTTATCTCCGTTGATGAAACCTAGGTGCATTATTACATACCGGAAACCAAAAAAGAGTCGAAATAGTGAAGCAAACGCGGCGAAGGGCCGCCGAAGAAGGCAAAGAGTGCACATTCGGCCGGCAAAGTGATGGCGACTGTTTTCTGGGATACTAAGGGCATCATCCACATCGACTACTTGGAAAAAGGAAAAACGATCAATGTTGAGTACTACGCAACATTATTGGATCGATTCGATGCCGAATTGCGTCGAAAACATCCCAGTTTGGAACGCAAAATTGCTCTTTCACCGAGACAATTCATCGGCTCACTGATCTGCTGTCGCCATGGCAAAATTACAATTGGGCCATGAATTGGTTGAACACCCACCATATTCCCTAGATCTTGCAGTCAGCGATTTTTTCCTGTTTCCAAACCTAAAAAAAATGTCTCGGAGGACGCCGTTTCGCAACAAATGATGAAGTCGTGACTGAAACTTCGGCCTATTTTGAAGAGCTCGAGCAAAAGTACTATTCGGATGGGATAAAAAAATTGGAACATCGTTTTACTAAGCGAACTGAAAAAGATAACAGAAAACACGTATCTCAGAATAAAAGTAGATTTTATTTTCTATATATATATATATATATATATATATATATATATATATATATATATTATTGTGATATTTAAAGTCTTAGTGCGCCAAACAATTAATTAGCTAATTAATTAATTAATTAATTAAAATTATTTAAATGATATGATTATGACTCTATCACACTTTTTAATTCTCTTATCTCAGGGTTAAATTCGTGCTTCAATATCTATGCTATTACATGTGAAAGGTAAGGGCCAAAAAATACCAGAATAATAAAAAACATATAGGATCTAACATTATATATTGAAATAAAATAAAGAAATAAAATTCACACTCAAAAATTTTCAATACACAAAATCTCATCTAATGATTCTCAAAATTTTGTTCTACGTACGTGAACCTTCAAAATTAATGGTACAAACAACCTTAGTTGAAATCTCAAAATCCCAAATAATATTCTAAATCTCCTGATCAAAATATTTATATCCTTTCTAAATTAAGTATAAAAATTGTGTTATCAATAAAAGAAAAACTGCAGAAAACAAAACTATCTCTCTCTGGTGATGAGTGGTCCAAATCCTTGTTCCTTGTAGACTATATTATCTACTCTCAGCCGCTCCCTAGGTAATCAGCAATCTTACAACAAATTATTGCAAGTTTATCGTCCTTAATGATCTCCTTCAAATGCACGAATCGTTCAGATTATGCTAGCTTCTTCTTCTCTCAATAAACTGAATCTCTCGTTGGCCTGAGTGAAAAATGACTCTTGGAATATCTTTTCTTTACGATAAACTGAATCTCTCGTTGGCCTGAACAGTGACTCTTGGAATATAAGTAGAAAATATAACTTACAATCTTTTACTGGATCAGCTTCTGTTAGATACACTAACTACACGAAAACTCACAAACTTTCACTGCTACTGCTTCCTACCTCTGGGAAACTACCCAAGAACAGCGCTTGTTCGCCTTCTATCCTTGGACACCAACTAACTATCTTTTTTGTTTCAAAAAGTCACTAAAGTCTCATTCTCAAACCAATCATCACACCTTTTTCAATTTCATCCAATCAAAATGCGTCATCCATCTCCCATTTCTTCATTTCGATAACAAACAAATTTTTACCTATAATTATAAAATTTCCTAAAACTTTTTTACAAATAATATTTTTCTACAATTCTTAAAAACTAACAAAAACCTATCTTTCTAAAATCTATTCTGTTGTCCAAATCACTGCATTAATGTATTTGGAAAACCCGGTTTAATTGTCTTTTATTTCACTTAAACTTATTCACATCATACAAATATATTTTAACAAAGAAAATAATTTATGCATATCTTACGTTTTGTTAAATACAGGTAATCCAAAATTAAAAGACTTTCATTCTTCGAAATGTTTGTAGTTTATTGTTTGACTTATCGAAATTATTTTAATGTTTTTGAACTTTGAAATATTTTAAGCAAACCAATATTTTTCTTGATTTTACATATCATAACAATATATATAAATGTGATATTCAAAGTCTTAGGTGCGCCAAGCATTGAATTAGCTAATTAATTAATCAATTAAACTTATTTAAATGATGCAATTATGATTCTATCACACTATTTAATTCTCTTATCTCAGGGTTATACTCGTGCTTCAATATCTATACTTTACATATGATAGGTAAAGTCCAAAGAATACCGGAATAATAAAAAATATATATGATACAAGATTATATATTGAAATAAAAATATATTGAAATAAAATTCACACTCAAATATCTTTAATAAAAATATCTTATATAATGATTATCAAAATTTTGTTCTACGTACGTGAACTTTTAAAAGTTAATGGTACATACAATATAAATTAAGATTTCAAATCAAAATTGTTGTTCTAAATCTCCTAATCAAAATATTCCTATCTTTTCTAAAGCAATTGTAAACATTGTGTTGTTAATAAAGAAAATCTGATGGATAGTAAAACTATCTCTCTGATGATGAGTTGTCCAAATCCTTGTTCCTTGTAGCCTACACTATCTATTCTTAGCAGTCCCCTAGGTAATCAGCAATTACAACAAATTGTTGCGAGCCTATCGTCTTTAATGATTTCCTTCAAATGCACGCATCGTTCAAATTATGCTAGCTTCTTCTCCTCTCGATAAACTGAATCTATCGTTCTGGCCTGAACAGTGACTTTTGGAACTTAAGTAGAAAAATATAACTTACAATATTTTACTGGATCAGCTTCTGTCAGATTCACTTACTCCACGAAAACTCACAAACATTCACTATTACTACTTACTACCTCTGGGGTTCCACCAGAGAACAACGACTGTTCGCCTTGCACCCTTTTAAACCAACTGATTATCTTTTCTCCCTCAAAAATCTAGCTAAACTCTCATTCTTACAAACCATCCCACTTTTTTCAATCTCCTCCAATCAAAGCTCGTCATGCGTATCCCCATCTCTTCATTTAGATAACAAAAAACAATTTTACCTACAATTATAAATTTCCTAAAAACTATTAAACATACTAATCGGTTTCTACAAATTCTTAAGAACTAACGGAGAAATATATTTTCTAAATATCTATTGTATTATCTTATTGTTTATGATTTCACTTAAGCTCACTCATGTCACTTTACAAAGAAAATAATTTATGCATACTTTTAAAATTTTGTTTACTACAGGTAATCCAGGATAATGGATTTATTTCCAGGTTTATTAGTCGAATTATTTGAATTATTATATTTTGTACTTTGAAATAAATTAAGCAAACCAATATTATTTTCAATTTTACATAGCATAAGAATATATATATATATATATATATATATATATATATATATATATATAGATATATATATATATATATATATATATATATATATATATATATATATATATTGGATTTGAAATTTCCGCGGGAGCTATATGTGATTTCAGTTGTTTTCCGGGTTTGACTCCGCGTTAAATAGTATTGTTGTAAAAAAAAATAGCTGCTGATTATTTTCCCAAAAGTGACCATCTTATGCGATTTTTGAAATCCAAGGAAGATGGATGATCATTGGCTTCACCCATTCCTTGAATATAGGCAAAGAAATTTTTAAGAACATCCTGATTTAATCGAGCAGTTAAATTATAATTTATCCGGTACTTTCCATGTAGATTATCGTACATAGCTGTAAGCGATTTGTTGGTTAGTGATATTCCTTTCTGAAATTTAATGAGCTTCTGATATTTACCTACTCTCATGGAATTTATGAATTCCATCATTTTATTTAACAAATCGTTTTGCGTATTTATGTCAGTACCAAAAGTATTTTGTCCTGGACATTTTCCAATCGTTAAATAATTGGGTTATACTACCAGATTCCTGCCAATAACTATTCTTTGGCATAAATCCTTGTTCTTTAACATACTCCATGCACTTTGCAATATTAGAAAAAAAAAATTAGATGAACAAATAGTATTATAATATATTGACATAAATTAGCAACACATAAAATAAACATTGTTTTACAGCTCAGCTAAATGTCTTTCTTGTTCCATTTGCTGCAAATACAGCTAAGTGTTCCAGTTGCTCTATTATATTCTCCTAAGAAAGTTCCACAATTTTTACAGTATAACTCCACAATACTCTTTTTTTGTACAATAAACGGCAGAAAACACGCAGGCCAACAGCTTAACATACAGAATGCTCCCAATGATGTATTTGTAAACTAAAAGAAATAAAAAATATTATTTATATATTATTTATATAATATAAATAATAATATAATATTTATATTTATATATTAAAGATATATATATATATATATATATATATATATATATATATATATATATATAATTTTGTAGTGAGTTAGCATGTATGCGGTCTGCTGTATATTTGTCAATAAAACTCTTTTTTCTTCTTTGCGTCTCTTTATTTCGTTAATTGTTTGTTATTCTCTCGAGGCTTTTAAATTGTATATCAAGGCAACCATTTTAAATGACGACCAACTCCTTGACGAACTGGGAATTTTGAAAGACGTGGCTACAAGTGAAAAAATTACTGAGTGGAACAGAGAAGAAAAAAATATTCAGGATCGATGGCTTGAAGTTTTTAAGTGTATAGATTAATTCAAACTGAAAAACTAACAAATAATATGCGAATTTATTTTTTGTATTCCTGATACTAGTGCTGCTATCAGTGCAGCGATAATTTTCTGTAATAAATACTGGAAGACACGAGTGGATGAAGGTGCTATGTAACATTTTTCTAAAAACGGTTTTTTTTTGTATGGATGAAGGTATTATGTACCTGTTTATCACGTGGCCAAATAAGAATTCTAAGATTCGTAACAGAAGTCTAGGTTTTTTAAAGGATGAAGGAGTTATGTTACATTATTTTCCAGTGAATAATGGAAGAAGGTGTTATAAGCACAAAATACCTTCATCCACATTCATGTAATATTTTGTATACCTTCGTCATATGAATGATAGTGTTAAGTGACACACATAACTCCTTCATCCACTCACTGGCAATTTTGTTTTACTTGGTGATTTGGTATTGCGCTCACGTGTTCTGTGTCATTATTACAGTTTTCGCAGTAATATCATAATATTAATGCTAGTTAACATTTATAATGAGTTCCAGAGGTAAACAAATGTTAAAACTAGTGCAGGAACAAATAAACTGTGAACAAAATTTGCCGAATGATGAAAATGAATTCACAGCAAGTTCTAACCTCAACATTGAAATTTCAAATGTTACAGGTAAGTGCAATCCTGAAATAATTAAGTTTTATTATATTTTGGGCAATAGGTATTTAGATCATAATATTTATATAAAAGTGTAAATGAGCTGGTTGAAATACATAACCCAACTATCATCTGTTATAAATATTTACACTTGATTGCTCCGGGGATTCCCCTATCTTTTCAAAAGTAATTTTTAAACAATAATAATTAGGAAGAATTAAAATATAAGCATAAGTAAATAGCTGTTTTTATTTTCAGATTTGGAGGGGACCCAACCATTCTTGTCAGACAGCAGTGGTGATGCTGAATACTTTCCGAGTAATGAACGAAGCAGTTCTTCAGGAACTAGTGTCACGGAGGACGAAGAAAGAGCGGACCACAGTCATGTAAAAAACCTTGTTGGAGGTACATTCATTTCTGGAGACAAAGAAGGAAGCGGGATTATTCAAAAGCCTATAATTAATCCTTCTAACGGGTCTAACGAGGTTGACCAAGAAAATGAAAAACAAAGAAAGCAAAAGATTTTTTCAACGACAGCAAAAGTTTCCAAAAAACGAAAACGAGATCCAAATACGTGGAAGAAACGCAAAGCAGCTTTAGATAGAGCAAAAGGTGAAGAATATTTGTCTTACAAAAACCTTCCCGTTCCAAGAAAGGAGCCAGAAAAAGGTATTCTTTGTAGACAAGGCTGTAGATTTTCTTGTAGCACTAAATTTTCAGCAGATGACAGGAAGGCATTTTTGGATGAATTTCATAGACTTGATATTAATGCAAAAAATGCTTTACTATTTAAATCAATCATTAAAAAACCAGTGTTGAGGGAAAGAAAAGATGCTGTTAAACATAAAACTGCGTCATATACGTATAACGTTACAAAAAATGGAATTACCGTAAAGGTGTGCAAAGAAGCGTTATGCGCTCTATACCAAATAGGCAGAAAAAAAACTTGATGTTATAAAGAATCGTATAAATAGTGGTGTAGCAGCACCTCCTCCAGATCGCAGAGGTAAGCACTCCAATAGGTCACACAAAATAGGCCAAGATGTTAGGGATTTTGTGATAGAGCACATAAATAAATTTCCTTTAGAAGAGTCGCACTATTCCAGAAATAGAAATCCTCTTAAAAAATATCTTTCTCCCCTACTAAATGTGAGCAAAATGTATGAGTTCTATCTTGAGGAATGTAATCTGGCACAACTTCCTGGAAAATTTACAATTAAAAAATGTTCATATTCCAACATTTTTTCGCGAGAGTTTAATTTATCATTTGGGTATCCGAAAAGTGATACGTGTAGTATCTGTGATGGAGGTGAATCTAACGATGGACATAAAGAAAACTACACAGCATCAACTAAAGCGCTCAAAGTTGACAAGGAAAAAGCAAAAGATTGAGACAACTTGGTCTATATTACAATCGATATGCAACAAACAATGCCACTGCCAAAAATAACAACGTCCAAAGCATTTTACCTTAGGCAAATGTGGTTTTATAATTTTGGGGTGCATATTACTACAAAAGGCCTAGACAAAGCACGTTTTTGTACCTGGACCGAAGATCTTGCAAACAGAGGAAGTGCAGAAATATGCAGTTCTCTACTCAGATATATTGAAGTCGACGAAAGAATCACCAAAAAGGATTATCTGATCATCTGGTCCGATTCATGTGCGGGCCAGAACAAGAACTTCCACATGATTTGCCTTTATTAGTATCTTATTTTGAAGGGATACTTCCGTTGTATTGACCACAAGTTTCCTGAGGTTGGCCATACTTACTTAGATTGTGACAGAGACTTCGGAAGAATAGAGAAGGTTTTACGAAAACACGACACGGTATATGTACCAGATACGTACCGGGAAATAATTTCAAAGGCTAGCCGAAAAAATCAAGTCATCGACATGGCTCAACACTTTAGAAGGATTGCTGATCTACCGCAAAAACTTAATCTTACTAACAGAAAAAAGGACGAACTAAATGAAACAGTCAGATTTAGAGACGGTATTAAATAGATAAGAGTGGAAGAGTATGGTTCCTATTTGTATAAAGAATCATATGACGAAACAGTTCCTTTTAGAAAAGCAAATATTCTTCAAAATAAGAATAGAACAGCAGCGCCAGAGAATATTGAAATCGAAAGAATTCGGGAGAAATATGAAACTATCTCTGAAGAAAAAAGAAAAAATCTCCAAGAACAGCTTAAGTTTGTAAAACCAGAATATCGATATTTCTATGAACCAATCTTAGAAAAAAAATAATGTATTACGTTATATTACTGTTATTACCTTATATTAAGCAATAACATCTTGTTAGCTGATTAGATAAGTTTTTCTTTAATACATGATTCTTCCATAAAACAGTAGTTGTAAGACACATTTTTTTTTTGTTGATATTTTTTTTCCGTGAATAACATATTCCATATACTAGTAACGACATAGAAAAGTTTTTACCTAATAAAAGTGAATGTGAGAAAAGTTTACAATGAAAAACTTTAACTTTAATTTTCTCAAAATCTAAATTTTGTAACATAGCACCTTCATCCACTCGTGTCTTCAATTATTGGACGTCGGAAAAGTCACAAATGTCTATTTCCATTCTCAAGCCAGCGATGTAGGTGTACGCAAATGTTGATGCGATTGTAAATGAAATGTTTCATTAGCTTCAGTTGAAGCTGGACCTTCTTAAATTAATTTTAAGTTCCGAAAAATATGAATGGTACAAAAAACCAGAAGAAGATGAACCTATTTCAGATCCCTCATCTAAAAATTCTTATAATTTATATAAAATTTATATAAAATATTACAGGATTTTTACTTTTTCAGATGTGTTAACATAATTTATGTTTAGTTTAATTCATAGGTATTTTTTTTCATGTTTAGCTACATAGTTTATTTATTTCTAATGCCAAAAAGTTATGTTTGTCCAACAAATAAATAAATTTTGCGTTTTAATACATTTTTGTGTTTTTCTACTTTTTGTTTTTAAATATATGGTCACCGTAGCTATGAGATACAGGTTCTTTCCTCAGTTGCCATTTTTTTTACTTCTATATTTTTATTGTTTAACGTAAATCTATATAAATATTTTGTTCATAAAAATATAAAACATCGTAAAACATTAGATTACTTACTTTATTTTTATGTCTCCGCATAGAAGGTTGACCCTTCTTTCTGCATTGGGGACAAGCCAACTCCAGTTGGGCAGGTTTCCAAGTCTCTACTACAATGAAATAAATTTATTTATGTCAATATAGGTAATAATTTTTACTGCTAATTTATATCAGAGCCATCTTAGTTTTATATGGGAAAATAAGTTGTAAGTTACTCTTGTAAGATGATTTTACTATTTCTATATAATTAACATCACTACTCGTAAAATTCCCAGTGGTTGGCTGTATACCATAATATTAAATAAAAAAAAATAGTATAAAAACTTTTTCTGCAGAAGGAATATTTATGTTATCATTTATACTTCGCTTGTCTACTGCTAGACATAAATCTCCCCGATAATTTTCCATCTGTTTTGCTTTCCATCTCGTGCTTCTTGCATCCAATTCCTATGGCAACGTCTTAGATCGTCAGTCCTACGGCTTGGAGGACGACTTCTGGTTCGGTAGAATCAATTCTCGGTCCCCATTCCAGTATCCGCTTTGTCCATCTGTTAGTTGTCATTCGAGCCACGTGACCTGCTCAGTTCCCCTTCAGTGTTGCTATTCTCTCTACAGCATCAGCCACTCCTGATCTGCGTTGCACCTGGCGCTGCGGTTTGAGATCGTGTCTCAAATTCATCAGAACTTATTAAATCCTATCAGATCATCAGTGAACTATCAAAGTGAGCAATTTCACTTAAAATATTACAAAAGAGGTAGAATTTTATTTGTTAAAGAAAAACGTGTAGTAATTACTTCTTCCTCTTCAGGTGTCCTGTCCGCTGCGAACATTGGCTATTAACGTGGCAATTCTGATCTCGGTTAATTTTCTTCTGAATAGTTTGACTGATCGATGTGAGCCAGAACAACTTCCGCAGATTTTAGAGTATCTTCTGCTGTCTGGCCTAGATATTCTAGATATTCAAGTTTTCTCTGTTGAATTGTGCTTCAGGCTTTTGAGCTATGGTTATACAAAAGGATCCTAAATTTACTATGGACAGACAAAGTCTGTCTACAAAATCAATGCAAATATGAGCTACTCCAATGCATTTTGCAAGGTAAAATTGAACGAAAAAGGGCCCCAGGACGAAAAAGAATATCCTGGCTTATTAAACTGAAAGCACGGTATAGAAAGACCTCAACACAGATATTCTGTATAGCAACCAACAAAGTCGACATAGCCAGAATGATCGCGAACGTTCGGAATGGACAGGCACCATAAGTAGAATTGTGCTCACAATTTCTTTCTATTTTCCAATTATGTGGATTACCTCTAGGTTGTTTACATATTCTGTCCAGGCTATAAGAAGAATGCGTCGATACACCCCCATGTTGAATGCTTCATTTAACACTTCTTCTTCTTCTTAGTCGTTAACCTGATGCAGGTATCGTGATATCATGAAGCTGTTAGGTAATTTTTCCAATGTTCCTCCACGTTTTTCTATCTTCTGCCAATCTAGCACATTCTGACAATGGAGCGCCAATGGTACCAACAATATGGTCCGTGTATCGTGTAGGAGATCTACCTCTACTTCTTTTGCCTTCTACTTTTCCCTGGATGGTAAGTTTTTCAAGACCATTTCTTCGAAGCACATGTCCAAAATAGCTTATTACCTGTTCTGTTATTTGTGTTCTTAGTCTTTTCTTTATGTTTAGCTGGACCAGTATGGATTCATTTGTTCTTCGGGCCACCCATGGTATTCTCAGCATTCGTCTCCAGCAGTACATCTCAAATACATCTATGTTCTTTTTGTCTTTCTCAGTAAGGGTCCAGCATTCCGATGCATAAGTAAAAACTGGAAAAACTAGACTTCTTACTAGTTCATTTAACACATTAAGTGTTAAAAAAAAGTACATGCAGCGTAACCTGTTAAAATGTAATTTTAAGATTAGATTTTTTCACTTCTTTATTAAGTATATACATGGATACTTTAAGTAATTATTTTGGAAATATTTAAGTAAACAAAGAGAATTTATTTTCAGAAAGAGGTTTTTATACTTTTTTTATATTTCAGTTTGTTTGTTAAAAAATGCAGATATTAAGAAAGTACAGATAGAAGATATCATGAACAAAATAAAGCAATTTAAAACTAGATAGCCAGGGCACACCTGGCGAGTAGAAGATGGCGGAGTGGCACACGCCATGATTGAATGGAATTTGAGAGGAAAAAAGAAAAGAAGTTACCAGGATCCAAGTAACTGCAATAAGTTGAAGAAGATTTAAAAATCGCAGAAGTAAGGGAATTGCAAAAAAGAACCAGAGACAGGAAAAATGGAAAAAAATCGTTAATAAGGTAACATAAGCAAAAGCGAGTGATTCTCTCAAGAAATATGAGCTAGTAAGCTTTTGTGACTTGGATTGATCACTAGATAGCTGCACGTTACATTGTTACCAAAAAATCACCGCTTACTTTGGTCATGTGGTGCAAAGAGATGGTCTGGAGAAGCTGACATCGCAGGAAACGGTGCAGGAGCGAGAGCCTGGGAAAGAGCACTAATGAGATATCTGGTAGATACCACAATACAAAAGTAGTTGGAGCACCACATATCCTTGGTTTAAAGTTACAGAAGACAGGGAAAAATGCAAAAAAAAATCACGGAACATTATTATAAGAATTTTTAGATAACACAATGTCCGAACCAGACGACCAATTAGGAAAAAGAATTGTTGGTATTTAACTATTTTTGTGAACCTTTTTAGATGATATTTTATTGAACTATGGACTTGTTGACTTATGGAGAAGAACAAGTTTCTAAAAAAAATTACAGATTTTCTAAATAATAATAAAAATCTAATTTGAAAATTATTCATCAGCACACGTTGTTTTTTTACTTATATTAAAGCGTAAAAACAATAGCCACATTAATTTCTAAAAATTACTCAAAAAGTTGCATGCAATAGTACAGAATCATCTAAAATTATCATTTTTATTCCCTTTTTTATTTTAAAATTTAATTTTAATTTAACACAGTTATTGACAAAGTTAAACCATTTCTACGAGTGTTTTGACTAGAACTGACTCCTTCTATTCTATCTTACTATTTAAATTATATTTAGTTTATTCTAATCCACATGATATGACAAAAAATATTTCCGATAATATAATACTAGCTACAAACAAAAAACAAACTTCATGTAGTATTTGCGTATCATGTAAAACAAACCTGTAGTTTTATAACCTCCACTTCCACTTCGACTGCTCTTCGTTATCTTTACAGCAGATAATTTTCTACAGCTAATCACTTTCCTGTTACATTCTGAAAATTACATTACAGTTGTATTAAGTAAACTCGGTTTTATCGTTCTTGGCGTGTGCCAGAAATAAGCTACTACGGAATTTTTAATATTCTTCTCTCTCTGATACACAGATGCGTAATTCAATTGTGCGAGTCACGTTTGTCATGGTAAAGTGCGATGAGAAGGGAATAAAGAGACCACTCACGTCTCCCAGTATTGTAGCATTAACACCGATACGTTTGGCCGATACGGTGTCGGTGATAAGTTCGTCCTCTTTACGAATACAGATAGCTGCCACTGGAGGAGGTAAACGAATCGAGCTTAGACAAGGAAAGACAGATGAAACAACTTATTGCAAGTGTTTTTACACGCACACGCCAAAAAAGATGAAAACATCTTTATATAGTTATATGAGTCGGTGAAAGGAAAGTGGTGTTAATCACCACTTTCCTATATACTTTACGGAAACGGAAATATACTTTACGGACACACTGTATATATGTATAACATATTTAGATATTTATTGTTATCCTTATTTCTTTTTTAATTAGGTAAAACTTTTTTAAATAATACCTGTATACTTATTTCCTTTCCAGCTTATAAAAGCTTCCAACAGTGTTTGGACAAATAATACAGAAACAATTCAATCTGCTCAAAACCTAATATATACTTACCTCTTGCTTTCTCTCCTAAATCTAATTTCCAGGATAACAAATTTTCCAAACTAGTAAAGAAGGTTAACTCTACGTCTGGATGTTTGGCTAGGAGATGCTCTCCCAACGTACACAGGCAATTGGAAGTAACTTGAAGTTTTTCACCGCACAGTTGACATTTTAAATGATGATCCATTAAAATTTTACGCAAAGGTCTCGACTAGATTGATCTAATCGAGACATTTTCTTAATATTTTTATCATGAATGGATGATGGATGGTTTAACTTGACAATTTTGAAACTCATGTTTCGTTAATATGACGTTTGTCAGCATATTTGATATAAAGGTGGGTCTTTAAGAGTCTAGACGCTAACCTTTGCTATAAAATATCGAATAAATATAGTAGAATTATCAAAATATGTATAATTTTAAGACGATATGGTTAAATATGTAGGTAGAGATTAAGAATGTTATGTTCCAAACAAATATAAAAATATATGAGAGTATTAGAGAAAATCGCTTTTTCTAAAGAGTAAATGTCCATTTTGACAAGATTTAAATGTGAAAAATAAACGACAAGCTTCCTAGATATCGACATGTAGAGATGATTTGTCGATAGGCTTAAAAGTTCCACCTGGAAAAGGAAAATGCCTTATTATTAGAATATTGGTAGCGACTCAGGATTTGTTGAAGTAGGTCTAAATGCATTTGTTTCTAAAAAGACGGGAAATTACCATGAGGAAATGGATGCAGATCATTATGAAAAATGGTTTTCAGATATTCTGTTAAAAATCGAACAGATCTGTTATTGTTATGGATGAAGCTCCATATCACTGACGGTGTGTATAACTATTACCAACCACTAAATTGAGAAAACCCGAAATTGCGGATTGGCTTACTAAAAAATAAATTAAATTCAATGAACTAATTTTGAAAATCGCGTTACCAAACTTAGCACGGTGTCATGGGGATAAATATGTTAAATATGTAGATAAAATGGCGCGAAAATAAGGCGTAATTGTAGTTCAATTACCGCCACATCATTGTGAGTTAAACCCGATAGAACTTGTATGGGCTCGAATAAAAAATGAAGTAGCAAGGAACAATACTACTTTTAAATTAAATTATGTAAAAATCTGTAAAAAAAATGTAGTGAAAGAAGAGCAGAATATGTGGAACCTTGATAACTTAATTTAAATTGCTATGAAACCAGTAGTTGTGGATCTAGGCGAGGATACTACTGATGAATCTGAAGATAACATAGATGACTCAGATTCGATTATATATGTTAGTTTTTATTTAAAGATATTATTTATATTAAATAAAAATAAATATTCAGTTGAACCATTTATTACTACTTAGTACTGTTTCGTACCAAGAATGGTTTCAGTAATTCAGTTTTCTCTTCTTCGCGTGCCATCTCAGAATTATCCGAAGCTGGCGATCACCAGTGCGAAGACTTCTCGATCTTCTGCAATATGAAATAATTGTCCTGTATTTGAAATCTGAGTCCAGTCACGAATGTTTTTTAACCACGAAACTTGTTTTCCTCCTACACCTTAACGGCCCTTTATTTTGCCTTTAAGGATCAGTTTTAATATTTTATATCGACTTCCCCTTACTATATGTCCCAGATAAGACATTTTTTGATGTTTAACAGTCTTTAGCAGTTCTCTATCTTTGTTGACGCTCCTTAGTACTTCTTCATTAGTTTTCCTTGCTGTCCAAGGTATCTTCAGCATTCGTCTATGAACCCACATTTCCAATGCTTTCCCAATTTTGTTCATGATCGATATTTTTAGTGTCCACACTTCTGCACTATATAAAAGTGCGGGCCAAACATAGGACTTAACCATTCTTTGTCTTAGTTCTAAACTGAAATGATTGTTGTAAATAAATGACTTCATTTTCATAAAAGTAGTTTTAGCCATTGCTATTCTACGTTTCATTTCTATCTCTGGATCTAGTTGATCCTATATCACAGTTCCCAAATATGTCATTTTGTGAAGTTTCTCAACTTGAACTCCGTTTAATTGAAGCTTTGCATCGGGATGTGGGTCACGACTAAACAGCAAAAATTTGGTTTTGTTTGAGTTTATTTTAATGAACTCTCCTACCTCGTGAATACGATTAAGCAGAATTTGGAGACCTTCAATATTATCTGACAGAATTACTGTATCGTCTGCATATCTAATCACATTAACTAGTTCTCCGTTGAGTTTTATTCCATATGGTTGCCTCTCAAGTGTCTTTTTAAATAACTGGTCCGAGTAAACATTAAACAATGTTGGCGACAAAATGCAACCTTGTCTGACCCCTCATTGTATGGAGATTTCATCGGTGTAGTTATCTCCAATTTTTACGATAGCAGTTTGATTCCAGTACAAATTTTTAATGACACGAATATCGTTGTCATATATTCCGATATTTTTCAGTATTTGCATTAATTTTACATGCTGTACTTTATCGAATGCCTTTTCAAAGTTCACGAAACATGTAAATATATCTTTTCTTTGGTCACGGCATTTTTAAAATAGGATGCTAAGCTTAAAAAATGCCTCCCTGGTTCCCATAGCATTTCTAAAACCAAATTGGGTATCTTCGAGATCTTTTTCGCATTTGCGTCTAATTCTGTTGTGAAGTATTCTTAGTAAAATTTTAAGAGTGTGGCTCATTAGGCCAATTAATCGATATTCTGAGCATTTATTTTATCGCATTGTGTTTTTTAGGTATTGCGACAAAAATGGATTTGAGCCAATCTGTGGGAATCACTCCGGTGTTATGTCTTGAATTAAAAAGTCTTACTACTACTTTCATGTTATCATCCTCTATTAGTTTCAGCAACTCAGTTGGTGTATCATCTGGACCACAAGCTTTTCTAATTTTAATATTATTTATAACGCGTTGTACTTCGCATTTCATAATTTCTGGGCCGTCAGTACAGTTTTGGTAGAATTAGGCAATATTATTCCTGTCATCTTCAAACAACTCTGATATATATAGCAGCCATTCTTTTCTTATTTCGTGCTCATTTACAATAATTTTGTTATTATTGTCAACGAGTACAGAAGGAACACGTTTTTTTTTTAAACATCTTACTCATTTTTTATAGTTTTTTGTGCACATTAAATAAGTCGTGTTTAGATGATACATCCTCCATTTCGTCGCACCTTTCTCTCATCCATTTTTCTTTTGCTAATTTAATCTCTCTTTTTATTCTTCTCTGCATATGTCTATATTCTGTTTCATCAGATTTTATCAGTCGACGTTGTTTCATTAATTTCAAGATGTCGTCTGTCATCCATTTATTTTTCTTGATTAAGTTTTTTCTACAACTATTGTTTGTGGAGATTTCGTTAACTTGGTTTTTAAATTGACTCCACAGTTCTTCTGGATCTAGTTGTTCTCCGATGTTTTTATTCTATTCTTAAATTCTTGTTTAATGTTATGTCGTCAAAGTTAAGTACATGGCTTTTTGGTTTTTGTCGCGAAATTCGTTTTAACCTTTGCTACAAGTGGTTGATGATCAGATCCAATATCTGCCCTAGGAAATGTAGTGACATTTTTTACGGCATTTTGGAAACACTCATTTACAGGTATATAGTTTATTTGATTTCTTGAGGACTCAGGGTTATTGCCATGATCAAATGGGGCTTTCCAAGTGTATAGTCTTCTCTTGGGTAGTTTATACGATGTGTTTGCAACGATCATATCATTTTCTTTACCAGATTCATACAATCTCTGTCCTCGATCGTTAGGTTGTTCTAGGCCATAAGGACCTACAGTCTGACCTCGTCGACCTTCCCCAATTTTTGCATTGAAGTCGCCTATAATATATAAAATTTCGTGTTTATCAAGATTCTGTAATATGTCTTGGATATGATCATACAACTTCTCGACTTCATTGTCATACTTTCTATCTACAGCCGGGCATAGATTTGAAGTATTAGTTAATTATTTGATGTATGTGTTAGTTTTAAATGGTTGAGTATTTATTTGGAGTAATATTATTCTATCCGAGACTGGTACGAAATTGGTAACATATTTACTCAGTTCTGTTGTTACTAATATACCTACACCATTTTTGTGGTGCGGGTCTTCTGTGCTGTTACCAGAATAATATACTTCCGTCCTTTTTTACACGATCCTGACTCTGGCCATCGCATTTCGCTGATTCCCAGCTATTTTCATTCTTTTCATTTCTTGAATTGCGTTGTCAAGTTTCCCAGCCGCAAATACACTTCTAACATTCCATGTACACATTCTAAAATTAGATTTCGTGGTATAAATATGTTTCTCCTCTCCTGCCGAATCTTGGCCTCCGCTTTCCATGATTAGTAACGGTATTCAGTTTTACCTGTGCTAAAAGTTACTAGATTCTTTTTTAATCCCATGTCATTAAATCTTATTTGACAATAGGAATTAAAATTATCCTTCAATCAGTCGGTAAGTTAAATGGATAAAGAGTTTTTCTTCAACAATATATTTAACAAGGATTAGTTTTCTTTATCTAAGGCATTTATAAAATAAGAAAATAATTGTTATGACTATCAATTCGTTCTAAAATATTAAAATTTTTTTTTAATAATAACCTTACGTCTAAAACCTGTCCATTTTATTTCCACTCAGACTCGCGAAAGTCTACATTGAAAATATGAGTCACTCACTACAATTGTGGTACTATGGTATATCAGCAAGTAGACCAACTCTATTCCTAGGGTCTCTTTTCCTTTCGTACTACTATTTGTATCCTTCAGCTAGTTATTTCGCCCTTTGTCCTTTCCAGTTGGTCTCTTGAATGAAAGCAATTTGCACCCTCCTTCTTTTAGTGCATACAGGGTGATGAATCGTCAAACGGGCCATAGGAAACTCAATGAGAAATTCTAAATTGTTGGATTCCTGCTTCCCTAATTATTTTACACCAAAAGTCATGGGAAACTATTTGTAGAGGAGTCAAATATATATCGAAAACAATTGTTAAAATTGTTCTACGACTTAAACGTATTCCAAAATTTTGCTAAAATATAATAAATTTTTCAGGCCACCCCTAAAAGTCAGGCCAGACGCCGTGAAAAGAATGTGTATTACGTGTTGCGTTTTGTCATATTGACGTTTCGAATATTTGACAATATTTGAATCAACTATATTATATTTATCTATGATTTAAATGGCCAAAATTTTGTGATTTATTATTTAAAAGAAAAATTAAGTTGATTAAAAAATGTACTGAGTTAAGGAGAAAAGAGCAATAATAAAAATGTTTTATTTATGTTTTATTATAACATTTGTTATAGTTTTATGTTTAGAAATTATCGTATATTATTAGGAATAAAAATCACAGTAACAGTATATTGGAATTCATGGAATTGTTGTATAACTTAACTTGGAATTAAATTTTAGTGTATTAGAATATCTTACGTTAAATAAAGATCCGGTAGTGACAGGAAAAGGTTCGCGCTATTGCCTGAATACAACATTATGCAATTTTTAGTCAACTGAGTAGGTACATTTCATTATATTAATCGATTTGCAAACAATTTATTGTTCACAAAGTAATATTGTTCAGTAGTAGTAGTATTTAGTAAAATTCATTGTTTATAATTTAATCATAAAATAAAAAAAATTGACAATTCAAATTGTCAAACATCTGACATAATATGATAAAATACAAACGTTATAATATATTCTTGTATTACGTGTGGCCTCACTTTTAGGGGTGTTCTGAAAAATCTATTATATTTTTGCAAAATTTTGAAGTACATTTGATTCGTAGAACGGTTTTAACATTTGTTTTTAATTTAGAATTTAGTCCTCTACAAATAGTTTTTTATGACTTTTGATCTAAAATAATTAGGGAAGCAGCAATTCAACAATTTAAAATTTCCCATTGAGTTTCCTATGGCCCGTTTGACGATTCACCACCCGGTATAGAAACTCCATACTCTTTGTAAGGAGATTATAACATACTTGTTAGACTCCAAAAACTACTGATACTAATAATAAAACACAATTAGATTTGGTTTATTATATATAATGCTCATATTTTTTATATAAAACTACAAATTTTTGAAAAAGTAATACAGTAAAACTTTTAAAACTTAATATTGTATTGAAGTCTTAATAAAAATATTGAGTAAACCCTCTATAAATTATTAAGTCAGTCATCTCTAGGTGCTTCTATAAGGATATGTATTCAATCAAATATGTATGTTAATAAAGTATTCTTAATATGACCACATGGACAATCGATGGACATATTCCGATATGAATTATGTACAAGAAAAATCAAGTTAAATCAACCATGCAAAAAGGGAAAGTCGCTATTTATTTTTTTGTAGTAATATTTTACTTCAGGTGTTAAAAATTATGTTGGGTGTACTAGCAGCTTAAGTTCTATGTTGGGTAAGCTACTTTATTTCGATGCTATGTAACCAAATTAATTACTCATAAATAAAGTGATTCCAAGCACACAGCTACCTCAAAAACAACCGTTTTGAAGTTATACTTAAAAATTTGTAATACAATTTTAGTATATTCGGGCAGTTAAGATGAAATTATAATATTATACACATACAATGTTTGTTCAAAGTTCAAATTCAAAGTAACCAAATGAAGGATAACGAAGCAATCCATCAGTTTGTTGAATACAGTAGTCAAACACAAGAAACAACACAAAGATATTTCTTAAAATTCTCTTACAAAGTCTACAATCCATTACAAAACTGTGTATAAGTTTAAAAACAGCTTCATATATTTTTATTAAGACAGATTAAATTAAATTCGTATCAATAATTAACATAATAGATATTTCAACGTAAATATGTATAACCTACAGATAAGTACTAAGTTTAATACTAAAATATGAATAAGCTACAACATATCGCTAATATAAAAATAAATGTTTTATTTATCCATACATCTTTTTAAATTTTCATAAAAACCTCCAACAAATCGCAACACCACTCGAGTAATTTCCTGGAACTTAATCGTTCAATTCAGTTATTAATTGATAAGACATTTGAATAGGTAAGCTTCAAGATCTTTGTACCAAACTTACCTAACAAACATCAATTGTCATATTTATGTCAAAAAAAATATATTGTTATATTTGGTCAATTATAAATCTAGGAACCTGACAAATGAGCACTGTTTGACAAATGAGCACTGTTCCCGAACAGTGGTACTATTTGAAAATGTTGAACTTATCGCAATATGGAAGAAAATCGGATGTATATGTCTTATGATTATAGCATTTTTCATATAAAAATGCTTACACGTTACAATTTATATAAAGTGACGTCACTTATACTTAAAATTTTCAGAACGTCAACCTTAGAGTTAAAATTTTCCTAACACAGCTAATAATACGAAACCCATATGGAACTGCTCGATCTTTCATAGGCGTCAACATGGTGTAATAATCAAAAAAATGTAATCATCGTTATATTGGAAATTTTAAAATGGTATTGATTAAATAACCAAAAATATTTGTTATTATAAATAATATAAATTTTATGAAATAACTCTTTAAGTCTAATATTCCACAAAATAATAATTTTAATTAAATAGATTAGACAATTGTACGCAACTGATACCGGAATACTTCAAATTTTATTGACAGTTCAGCGTGTGGCAAAATTGTTTGAAGTGTTGCCGCATTTTTCGAGTAAGAATTTTGTTTGTTTTGATTTCTTACACAATTTGATCATAATATAATATATATTAATAAATTATATTTATAAATACATAATTTAGATTAATTGCTTTAAAAACTAATTATTGTTGTGTATTGTGATTGTGCTACGCCAAAACAAATAAATAGTCTGTAGAAAGCTGATAAGCTTTCATATAAGATAGATTATTTTGAACAAGAAATAATGACTGGGCGTTTTTACTATTAAAGCCCTAAAAGAGGTAAGTTTAAAATTTAGAATATATAATTTTGTATTAAAATGTTTTCTTATGTATTTTAGTGTGTTGCAGTAGTCTTAAAACTAAAGTGTATTTACTGTTAATATAATAGTTTGACAAATAGTTGACATTTTAAAAATTCCTCACTTACTAACTATTCTGATGTTTTGGCACGCTGTGGGGTTCTGACGTCCTAAATCTTGAATGACGTGCAAGCATTTTTATATGAAAAATGATATAGTAGAACAGTCTAGTAGGTAAAAGTTATTGGCAGGTGATTGGCTTGATGATAATTTATTATGTGTCGAACTTTGTAATCTGGTTTGAGGAATCATATAATTTTTTTAACTGTTTTCCACATGATTCAGAGTTCACATAGTTAAAAAAGTGGTACAAGAACAAAAAAATCAATGGAAAGAAAAGGGCATATTATACGCTTTATGCTATTAATAATAGGAAAATATATAAAAAGAGAAGTAATCAAACTAGACTTTACAGTGGTAAAACTTAAATAGAAATTTGAAAATCATTTGAATACGAAACGAAAAGTGGAACATCTCAGCTGAGTTGAGCGCGCAAGAAGCAAGCTGGAAAAAAATAATAACAAGATTAAGAACTGAGGACATAAGGGCAAAGAATAGAGAAACTGATCAACACAAAATGTGTCCCTTGATTCAGACGGTGTCGGAAAAATGAGCGAAGTTTGTAACCCAGCCGCTAGAGGCGCTAATAAATAGAATCCGATGTTTATGGTAAATAATAAACGCAGGAATATTTTCTTTTTTAATATGAATGAAATATGCAAAAATTAGTTATTTGACACCACTTTTGTATGCTTATTTTAATTTGTATGCTTTTTTATTCCGTTCTTGAATTCTTATTCTTATTTTTTGCTTTTTTATATTATATTCTCATCATTTTTGCATTTGACATAATTTTAATATGATTCTATTCTTTAAAACATAATCTATATCGACATTTTGCTAATTTTTATTTGTCAATATTTTCGCTGTAGAGCAACGAACCATTGTTAAATTTATAAAATTTATAGATCACTACTGAAATTGACAATTTATTCAAATAAGAATCGTATTTTTAAGTCAAAAACAGATAAGGATATCGAAAAGTCCCACATTGAAGTAGGTTTATGTGGTGTTAGATAATTCGTCTTAAAGCCCAACTGCTTTAATAGTCACACCTCGTACTATTTAATTGATTGTAATATTTTATCTCTTAGACAGGATAAATTGGGAGGAACAAACAATATAAAAAATTGTAAAACAAAACATAAATATGTAAAGAAACACATCGATTGATCTCAACAAAGTGTAAATCATTAACAAATTTTACTACTTATTAAAAAAGAAGATATTAACTTTATTGTGTTGTGGCAACAAGTGTTCTCGATAATATTTGAGTGTAAAATATACAGTTCTAGACCATGGTTAACAAATAAAATAATATATCTACTTTAAGTAACAGTGTACAACATACTTTATGGTAGTGTAAAACATTGAGCATTTTGGGAATGAGATATTTTGAGTCAAAAACCTCATTTTTGTAGATCATTCTTATTCACTAACATTATTAAAGGCACTCAGACTTAAAAATGTATAAGTAATTTCAGTACATATCGAATTAAAAAGTTTATTATTCTAGGACATACAAATTTTCCACGAACAATACATATGCATAACTTTTCAAATAATCACTCTACGGTATTCATTGTCTAATCATTGAACAATTTTCTTTTAGTCTATAGTTAGACAAAATGTGTCTGAGACTAAGTATAGGTTTAAGGTACCCTAAGGTTATTTTATTTTGCACGATACAAAAACCTAAATGTTGTTTTGTCATCTTCATATCACCAGAAATGCCACAATCAACAGCCATTTAATAATCACGAAATATCATCTTAAAAACTAACGATATATCACTCAAATAAAGTATATCTTGCAGTACAAATTTGGCACTCGTATTTGAACATTCATCAGTCTTTACTGGAAAAATTCCTGGATATTGAGAGCTGGATCAAATTTGATCTCGACATTGCCCAAGTCATTCTTGGCCTGTTGGGCTCCTTTTAATACTCTTTGTAAATTGATCTCCACGTCATTGCTAAACAAGGCGCATCTGAAAAAAATGACTGGTAAGAAAAAAAAACTATATTTGTGTATATAAACTACTTAATCGGACTAGGTGAGGAACCGATTTCAACAATTGTTTTACATACTACAATACTACAGTTCGTAATCAGAAACACAATCTTTATTAGCGATATTTCCTATTAAAAAGTTACTAAGCCATTGGATTTAGAGCGTTTTCAATTAGCAGTAACTAAAAATTCATAAAAATATATTTATTAAGTACCAAAATGGTGGACATGAAAGGAGCCTCCACGTAGATTGCAATCACATGTGAAAGCAATCGGGCGTCCCCTGGAAACGAGTAATGTCGGCTAATCCTTTCACCACCGGTGCACCAACACAGATGCAAAGAAAACCAAAAGGTCTTTGTCAAGGCCATTTTTGATGACTACTTCAATTAATATTTAAGGACTATCAGCAAATAAAGAAGATCTACTGTCTAATATGTGCAGAAAACACCGTTTCGATGTCCTACTGGTTAAAGAAACCCATCGAGGAACAGCAAGCCGCAGACCAAGGATTCGAGGTATAAGACTTGTACTGGAGAGACCACACGACCAGTATGGTAGCGCAGTCTAACGCCCAGTGGAACTAAAGTCTTGTACGGTAACGTCCATTTACAAACCGCCAAATGCTGACGTTGCTTTTGAGGAATCGGATAACTTTTAATGACAGCAAATAAAATTCATATGGGTGACTTTAACTATCACAGTATAACGTGGGGATATAACGAAACAAACTCCAATTGCGAAGAACTAGAAAATTGGCTGAAAACATGAACCTCAAACTTATTCATGGTCCGTGTCTTTCAACAGCGGAAAATGGCGCAGAAGTTACAACCAGGCAATATATTTGTCAACGACAGGATTGGAGACCAGGTGAAAAAAATTGTTGGAAGCGCCCTCCCAAAAACACAGCACAGACCAATAACTTTTTTGAACGCGGCAATCAGATACGAAATTGTTCCATTCAATAGAAGGTTCAAATTCACTAAACCAAAATGGGAGAAATTCGCTGAAGCATTAGATCAAGAAGTTTCCCAGCTGGAGCCGTGCTCTGATTCATACGATAAATTTGTACAAATCGTAAAACAAATATTACGAAAATATATTCCTAGAGGTTGTCGAACCGAATACATAGCGGGGCTAAATGAAAAATCTAAACCCCTACTTAAAAGATACGAGCAGCTATATGAAGACGATCCCTTTTCGGAAGCAACAATACAGGCCGGGGAGGAAGTGCTACATGCGATATGCGCCAATAGAACGGACAGGTGGTGCAAGCTGGTCACGAGTTTAGACATGAAACAAAACAGCAGACGAGCTTGGAAATTAATTCGGAATCTTGGCAACAATACCGCCGCCCCGGAACCAAATCTGACAAAAGTTACACCCGATCAGATCAGATAGCCCATCATCTCCTGACAAATGGTAAGACGACATCAAGGAAGAAAAAAGTGAGAGTACAACGAAATATCGACTAAGAAGAAGATGTTCTAGGTACCTCCTTTTGTTTGGAGGAGATGAGAAGTGTGATCCACCAAATGAAAGATAATAAAGCGGCTGGCCTAGACGATATACGAACAGAACAAATAAAGCACTTTGGACCAAAAACCCTAGAGTGGCTCGTAAAAATGTTGAACTGTTGCGTCCGTACATTCCAAATCCCCAAAATCTGGAGGAAAGTTAGACTGGTGGCACTCTTAAAACCAGGAAAGAATCCGGCGGATACAAAGAGTTTTAGACCTGTCTCCTTTTGTGTCACCTTTTCAAGGCGTTCGAAAGAATGATACTGAACCGGATCGCTAAATCTCTGGACACTAAAATTATTCTTGAACAAGCATTGTTTAGACACTGAAAATGCTGCTGCAGTCAAACTTTTTATCTCACCCAACATATTGAAGATGGGTTTGAACGGAAAGAAATGAACAGGAGTAGCGTTCATAGACCTGACTGTCGCCTATGACACAGTTAACCGTCAACGGCTGCTGGTAAAACTCTACGAAATTACAAAGGATTTCCAACTAACAAGGTTAATGAAATGTCTTCTCCAGAATAGAAGTTTCTACGTAACGCTCCAGTCCAAGAACAGTCGGTGGAGGGATCAAAAAAATGGACTCCTGCAGGGAAGTATCCTCGCGCCATTGCTATACAATATTTACACCAACGACCAACTCAAAAACCAACAAACAAGGCAGTTTATTTACGCGGATGAGACAGCTGTGGCAGCTCACGGAAGTACCTTCAATGAAGTCGAAGTAAAACTGACAGATGCCCTAGAAAACTTAGCACTATACTATGACGAAAACCATCTGAAACCCAATCCTACAAAAACCCAGGTGTGTGCTTTCCACCTTAGAAACAAGCATGCTCGAAGGGCACTGGAAGGGGAATGACATGGTCAGATGCTGGAACACAATGAGACTCCAAAATACCTTGGCGTACGTCTGGATAGAACTCTGTCTTATCGATATCACTGTCAAGATATCAAAAAAAAGTAAGCGCCAGAAATAATATCATCCGAAAACTAACAAACACAAAATTGGGAGTACAACCACATACTCACCGTACTTCTGCCTTAGTATTATGTTTTTCTGCCGCCGAGTTTGGAGCATCAGTGTAGGAAAACTCTGCTAAAAACGTCGATGTTGCGTTAAATGAAACGCATCGTATAATATCTGGATGCCTGAAACCGACACCTATCGAAGAGTTATACCCTATAGTTGGAATCGCTCCACCTGCTATCAGAAGACAGGTCACGTCAAAGATAGAACGAAAGAAGCAGGAGACCGATCGACGACACCCCTTGTATGACCACAAAGTTCAGCCAAGTAGCTTAAGATCTTGGAAAAGCTTTCTGAAAAAATAACGATCCCTTCCCGAAGAACCAAAGACTCGTCGAATACACCTATGGCAACCGTCAGCTTCAACACATTTTGCTCCTTCAGAGGAAATTGCTGCTGGACAGAAACATAAAATTTAAAGCTGTTGGTGTTCCGGACACGGAAAGTAAGTAAGTAACAAAATTAAAACCACTTAAAATTTGGAAAACAGTAATAAGTTAACATCGTATATCATATAAAAACTATCTACTCATGTAAGCATAGATACACCAAATTGATTATAAAAGGTTTAACCCCTTGTTAGAAAATTACGTCACTCCAGTTTACAATAAATATAAAATATATATCCAAGATAATTTTTTAAAATTTTTACCTATCTCCAAAATGTGAATAATCATTAACTGCTTGGCCACATAAATAGCACATTTTTGCGCCACATATGCATGTCATTTTGTTACATCCATTGGATTTTACAAATGACTTTTTGCAATTAACACATGTCCTGAAATAAAAAAAAAACGTTTAATTGTCATGAAATTTAAAACCGGTAAATGTTAGGGAAATCACCTATTAACCACAAAAATATTAATAAAAAAATGTAACAAATACAAGTTTCCAGTTTTCCTAGCATTTGTAGACTACGACAAAGCTTTCGATACCATAGAACACACGGCCGTAATAAACGCAATGCAAAAGAATAGGCAGCAGATATATTAACTTAATAAAAGAAACTATGAACCAAGCTACAGCTACATACTACCTAAATGAAAATGAACACACGAACCCTGTACCATTAAACAGGGGAGTCAAACAGTGAGATACTTTATCACCCAAACTGTTCACCTTAGTTTTGGAGGACGTTTTTAAAAACCTAAATTGGAAATATAAGGGAATAAACATCAATGGCCGCTACCTCAGTAATCTACGATTTGCAGATGACATAATCCTGATAGCTACTGACCTACAAGAAATGCAAACCATGCTTTTAGAACTACATACCGAATATTTTCAACTACAGGTGAAAAGTACGAACTTTTAAGAAACATCATGCAGGACAAAATTAAGGGCAAAAGAAGTGTGGGAAGAAGAAAAATATCGTGGCTTCGTAATCTACGTGAATGGTTCGGGTGTAGTTCGATTGAACTTTTCAGGCGCGCTGCTAACAAAGTCGCAGTGGCCATGATGATTTCCAATCTCCGCTAGGAGTGGCACGAGAAGAAGAAGACCGAATATTTTAAAATAGGACTGAAAATGAATTTAAATACAACAAAAGTCATGCACTCCGAAGATACCGTGACAATAGTAAACGATAAAGTTATAGAAAAAGTTGAAGAAAAAAATAATACTAAATAGGGAAATTCAAACTGAAGAAATAAAAAGAAGAAGAAAGTTAGCTTGGGCAGCATTCGGTAAACTGAACTATATACTCAGAAATCAACAAATTCAATTACATCTTAGACCTAAAGTTTTTGATGCATGCATTATTCCGATATTAACTTGCGACACAAACATGGACAATCACAAAAAAGAATATGAATATACCAAAATCACCGATGTGGTGCAAAAATCATTGAAGTTGAAATGCGAATACGCTGGACATGTAGCTAGGAGCGATCTAAACAAATGGCACAGATCAATTTTAACCTGGAGACCATACCAACACAAAAGACCCAGAGGCAGACTTCCTGTGAGATGGACAGATGATCTGAAAAGGACTGCCGGGAAAAATTGGCTACAACTAGCGTACAATAAAAAACAATGGAAAGGAAGACTTGAAGAGGCTTATGTTCAGATGTGGACGTGAATGGCTAGACGAAGAAGAAGAAGAAGAAATGTTAGGGAGATAAACGTGAAAATCTTCTGAAAAAATTAAATTAAATACAGTTAGAAGTGTGGCATTATATAGTTCTTTTCGACATGTACTAAAACAGAAAAGCTATAATAATTTCTTGATGAATCAAGATCAAAGATTGATTATAATAGACAACTTTAAAGCAACTTAAACAAGGCTAGCGCGGCTCATTCTGGAGAAATTTTGCCGCCAGCCTAATGCAACGGATGTCAAAATTTTGGTAGATCTATGGAAATTTTATTTTGGAGAAGGCGCTGCTATTAAATATATTAATTTAATTTATTTGATAGCACGTGACCTTGTCGCTGCACATACTTGCAGAGAGTAACTTAAATCGACAGATCCGTTTCAAAGAGTAGCTTCTTCTTCTTCTGTTTATGAGGATATGACTCATGTCTGTTTTTCAATGTGCCTCCAGTAAGTTGTCATTCCATCGTTTTCGTGGTCTTCCTAGTGATCGTCTTCCTATTGGGGAACCGTCTCTTGTCGTCTTTACTACTCTATTTGTTGTCATTACACATAACTCTCTGCAAAGTACCTGGATTTACGATAACAAACAACATATTCATCCTGAAGACATACTCAGGCTACACCAAGGTTGTGACATTGGACGTCCACTGGTCAATATAGAAATCTAATTATTTCGCACAATGTTATACACAGGTCTCCCGTTCTTTCATTACGTCCAAACAAGCAAACATCGAGTATCCCACAGACAAGTTTCAGCAAGGTACCTGGATTTACGATAACAAACAACTTATCCATCCTGACGCCTAGTTTCTGACCTACAACTCCCAGCAAAGTACCTGGATTTACGTTGATGAAAGAGCTCCTGAATGCAACAAAACGATTAAAATATGATGTTCGGTACGGTAGCGAGCCCAATCGGTTTCAAACCGTAGTCTTAAAACAGCTGCGCAGGAGATGCTAAACCTACATAATACAAACATATTTAAATTTTTTATTTGATGCTGATAAATTGAAGTTCTTCTTTCTTAATAATAATCTAACTAATAATAACTAATTAAAGTTAAAAAATTTAAATTAAATCCTTGCAGATTCGCGTTAGATAATGGATATTTACCTGGTCAAAGCTTCTGTCATTTTATTTTCAATGTAAGTCCTTCTCTGCACATCTTCGTCATATTCTATTTCGTTACACCTTTTAGGCACATGCGACTCGTGTTTGCACTGTCTACAAGACTCTTTGAGACACTCAGGGTTTTCACATTTGAAAATTTTGTCCTCATCTGGTAATATTGTGGCGAAGTCGCAAAATGGACAAACTTCTAGACCGTCGACGTTGGCTTTTCTTATTTCTTCAGAGGCAATTTTTTGAGCAAGTCGTTCAAATAATTTGTTGGGGAGAACCATCTAAAACCAAATTAATACAAATATTAAATATTTAATTCATTAATTAAGTAATATATGGGCCATATGTATGCAAACATAGTTTTTGGCTGATGCAATTCAGAAGAGAAATGTAGAAATTTTACAGCTTTTTCAATTGACGGATCGTATACCGGTTCAAGGTGGTTCCATTTAGATTACAGAGTGCATATGCAGCACTCGTACGAGCTTAAATACCAACCTCAATCATTATGAACATTTTGTTTTACATTACATAGACGATTTATTAATTTTCTCCGAATGCTCAGAGTCATGTGAAACACATCAAAATTGTATTAGAGGAATTAGATGAAGCGGGGCTTAAACTAAACATTGAAAAGTGTCAATTTTTCCAAAAGGAAGTTGTGTACTTAGGATTCAAATTGGATACAAAAGGGGTTAGTCTAGCGGAAGATAGGGTGTAGATTATAAATGATTATCCGAGGCCGAAAAATTCGAAAACGTTGCGGGGTTTTCTTGGAATGGTAAATTAGTTCAAAAATATTCCGATATATAAAAAGAATACCTTAATAAATTGCTTGAAAATGGAATAAAATGGAATTGGAAGGAAGAACAGAAAGAAGCGTTTGTACATTTGAAAGAAGAATTTTCCAAGGGAATTAAAGTATACCATCCTAGATATGAGAGCCCTTTTATACTCCGGACAGATGCTTCAATCCAAAAATTTGCTGGAGTACTAACCCAGATACAAGATAGTCAAGAAGTTCCTATATGTTTTGTGTCAAGAGTCACGAAAACACACAAAAAAAGTATAGCATGACTAAATTAGAATTTGCAAGTGTGTTATTTTGTGTGAACAAGTTACGATTATATCTTTTGGGCGCTAAATTCACAATAGAGACGAATCAAGCCGCTTTGGTGCATATTATGAAAAATCGTCTAGTAAATAATAGAATCCATCGAGGAATACTGTTATTGCAGGAATACGATTTCGAGTTCAAATATATAAAAGGCAAAAATATCGTACTGGTACACGCTCTCACAGCGAGATGAAGACAGGGGAAGAAAGGAAGCTATTCAAGCTTGTGGGACTCAATACATTATCAAATGAAGAAGGAATGTTTTCATTAATTACGATAAGAGCAGACCAAAGGAGGTTAGAAGAAAAGGAAAAAAACAGAGCAGGGAGAGAAAATGACATTTTCTTTAAGAGAATCGGGAGAAAAGAGCTATATTTAATAACACAGTTATTGGCAATACGAATTATGGAGAAATTGCATAATGAAAATGGGCAGCCGAAAAGTTTGGCTCTTGTTTAGAGAAAACTATTTTATAAGTAAACAGGACTACTGTGTAGCCAAAGATATAACGAGGAAATGTCAGTTATGCCAACGATATAAAATTCGTAATTTTAAAAATAAAAATATTGCGAAAAGTACAGTGTCCCGACAAAAATTATATATTGTGGCAATCGACATGAGTGATCTGATTACGACTTCACAGCGAAAGAAGCACATTCTTGTAACGGTTGATAATTTTTCCAAATATGTGAAGCTGTATAGTTGTACAACAAAGTGCGAGGAAATTTTGAGCAAAATAAATGATTTCATAGCCACAGTCGGTACTCCTAGAAACATCTTATCCTAGACAACGCCATCTATTTTCGGAATGAACGTTTACAGGGGAAGCTTAGAGCGAGAAGAATTGAGATACAATTTGTAAGCATTCGGCACCCTCAAAACAATCCATCGGAAAGATGTATTCAAGAAGTGACAGAGTTTCTCAGAATTGCAACTGACGGACAACATAAACGATGGGATAGAAAGGTATTTCATACTTACCAATGCAAAATAATTTATACTGAGGCACGGAAGTAAACAAAGTTATGGGTAAGCTCATCAATTTAGATATTGTATTGTAAAATAAAAATATATATATATATATATATATATATATATATATATTATATATATATATATATATATATATTGTTATGGTAAGTATATATTATGGTTAATATACATTACATATATATATATATATATATATATATATATATATATATATATATGTATGTATGTAAATTCCGACAGCGTTTGTAATAAAAACGTTGATGCAAAGCTGTCCAACACAACGAATGTTTTATACTGATATTGGTCAAGAAATATGTTGAAATAAATATAGATATATTCATATGTATCTAAAAAAACCATCAGCATCAACAAGTCCGAAAACTTTCAGGGTTCGATTTGCTGCACATTTTTCTGGGGTATCGGTTTGCAACACCCTGTATAATAACATTGCGCATTTTACTACTAATTAATACTTTGCTGAGTAAGGGTTTTTAAATACTGAAATATTTGCGCAGTAGTCATCATTAAACTTCTAACAAAAATATTTAATACTCACCTGCAGCGTTTGTAAACTAAATTCAGAGTCACAATCGGCCATACAGGGAAACCTTGTATCACCTCTGCCAACACCAACTTCTACGCCTTTTTTAACGCACTCCTTGCAGAACGGACAATCTTTAATACAAAAGTAAACTTCTTCCGGAATTAGCTCGTCGTCAAAGCAACACTGGCAGGTTTCAAAGAGATTAAATTTTCTAGCTTCTTCTTTGGCATGACGGTATGCCTCATTTTTTAACTTTAGTTCTCTTTCTATTTGTTTGCGGTACTTTAAGAAAGATATCTAAAATTTAAATGAGGTAAAAATTTTATTGCTTAAAAATATTTAAGTATATCTATATTCGTGGTCATTTCATTAATGTGGTATTAATTCATTGTTTGTGAACAGATTTCGAAAGCGGATTTCTTTAAGGCTGTCTGTTTTTACTACAAAAAAATGCCAATAATTCTTTTATTAGCAAAATTAGATTCAAACTTTACATAAAACTACACAAATTGTTGAAAAACTTTGGTAGCTCTAAAACAAAATAACTCTTCTCTGCAACAAAATAAAACTTTGCACAATATGTCTAGTGAGTTTTGTCATCTTCACATTTGTTAGATGACTAATTCACAGTCTTTCCACGTTGAGAATTGGTATATGAGCCGCTCAGAAGCAGAGCGGCCAAACTGATTTTTTTTTGTATAATTCAGATAGGTGTACTACCTATAGTATATAATAGGTGGCATTTTATCATATCTTTCATTTCAAAGTGGCTCAACTAACATTTCAGCAGTATGATATTTTAGACATTTTCACTCTTGTCTTGTGTGTTTGTATCAGTCTTGTCTAGCGTTAATTCGTTTTTTAAAGTACTATCAGTCTTTTATACGGTTTATGTTTGTGCAATCTTGAGTAACGGTGAGTAAATTATTGTGGTAAATTAATATAATTCTAAATATTCTAAATTAGAATTCTAATTTTTTTAAGATTATAACCTTAAAATGAAGAAAGCAGGCTCTTTTTCTACATAGACATATAATATCCATGGTATGTCATGGTTTTCTAAGCGATGTTGCAAAAAGAATAGGTTATTATTTAACTTGAAGACATTTTATTACTTGAACTAATTAATAGAGAATATTTTTTATAGTTTGAAAATGCCGTTGTCGGATACATCCAGTACTCGTGAACCCAGCGAATTTGAAACAGATTCTGGCTCTGACTTCCATCCACCATCTGGTGATGAGTCTTCTACAACTAGGGAAAGCTTCAAGAAAGATGGACTCGTGGAAACTGGATCAAGTAGAGGTAAAAAACGAAACAAAAACAGTTTGGGGTGAAAGTCAGTTTGGAAAAGATCTAAGTCTAAGTTGGAAAGAAATTCAGAAAAATCATATTTGAATTCTCGTGGTATAATTGTATCTGAGAAACAACATTTTCATGGAGTTTGTAGCTGTCCACGAAAGTGTCATTTGGTGTTATCTCTTGAAGAAAGAAAAAACATTTTCTACAACTTATCTGATTTTCTATTCTGATCTGAACTAACAAAAGTTTCTACAACTTATCTGATTTTAATTTACAGACTGTTTACATTAATATACATAAGTAAGTTGTTGTAAGTAAATGTTGTCAATAAACGTCCACATAGAGCAGCTCAAATCGTAAAACGTTCTAAGGCTTGATTTATACATTACCGAAAGAATTAGGTGATATGGTAACTGTTTGCAAATCATTTAAAAAAAAAAGTTCTGATAAAAGGCTCACCAGAGCTTTAATAAACAAATCAAGAGGTGGCGAATTAATCACTCTGCCACTAGATAAAAGAGGCAAGCACCCCCTAAGAATAAGACAAGGAAAACGGATATTCAAAATATAAAAGATTTCATTAAAAAATTTGCCAAATATTCCCTCCCACTATAGCCGCAACAAAAATCATAATCGAGACTATCTGTCACCTGATTTAAATATCTAAAAACTTTTTGATTTGTATGTGCAAAGTGAAGAACCAAAAGTAAAGGTATCAAAATTCGTTGTTTCGAAAATATTTAATGATTTTAATCTTCATTTCGGTTATTGTCTCACTGACACTTGCAAACGATGTGACGCTTATAACATGAAAATAAAAATCTGTGTAGGTATAGAAAAAAGCAGAATTGAAACAGAAAAAGAGTTACACCTACGGAAGGCAGAAGTAGCTCGAAGTGGAATGAAGGAAGATGCAGCCAGGAATAAAAATACCACAACAGTAATTACATTTGATTTGATGAAAACTTTAGCTACTCCTAGTATTTCTACAGGAGTGATTTATTACAAGAGACAGCTGTCGACGTATTGTTTTGGCATCCACAATCTAACGACAGGTCATTTGGCAGAAATTTGGACATTGCTTGCATTTTACACTACGTAAAAACGTATGTTAACACACGAAAACGATTAAAAGTAGAATGGCTTAAAATACAGTGGCAAATGTTCAAAGCAGAAAAGCCCTTCAAAATTTATTTTAAATATTCTAATAACCAGAGTGTATTATTTAATTGTGTTGACGTCTCAAAAAAAAAACAGACGTCTTTCAGATAAAAAAAGAAGACTTCTACTTGGACATCTTCTATCCTGCTGGAAGACCCATAGAGCAACTAAAATATAAAGACCTCAGAGTCTTCTTCCTTACATTACGCCGGTCTATCATGAATTTTACACAAACCTGAGGCAATAGATAACGATATTGGATCGGAAACAGATGAATAGGTGACCCAAGTGAAAGATTTATGTTTTTTCGTAAAACTTAATATACATAGTGGGACATAGTGGCCCAACTGACTTTTTTTTGTAGAAGATTTTTTTGTTATTTTTTTGCTCATTCGACTCATATAATGTATAAGGTTCCAGGAATGTTTGTGTAAATGAATAAAATAATACTGGTTAATAAAAAAAAAATGGTTTCATTTTTAGATCAATTCTTTATTTGCCGATATCTCAAAACATCTATTTTACACTTAGTCCATTGTGCTTCTGAGCGACTCATATCTGCTTATTATTACGTCATTAAGATTAACTCGTGTCTCTGTTCTTGTACTGTTGCACAATCATTAGTATTATCTACTTTGTCTTCATCAGTAAGTTTATTTTTGAATTTATTAAGTACCTCTGTGTGTTTTCTAGTCTTTTAACGAAAGCAGTATATATCTCTAAAAACTGTACAGAATTTCTCTATTGGCCAGTATCACTAAAAAATTGCCATTTTCTATTGGCAGTATCACTCAAATTTGTTTACTTGTATCTAATTTGCAAACTATTTAATCAAAATCTAATTCACAATTTCTGGACTTAAATACTGCCAATCGCCATTTACGTTTAGATATATATATATATATATAATATAATATATATATATAATATATATATATATATATATATATATATATATATATATATATATATGGAAGTAATATTCGATAAATTTACTTTAGTTCAATAATATAAATATTAATGATAAACGTCGTGATAAACATGTTTAACGACGAACGACCACATGCCAATGAAATTAATGAAAGGAGTCATGATGATGATAAACACGAAATCAACACAAATCTAGACAGAAACCCAGGAAATAACTGCAACGTAGAGCAGCAGTGGCAATTCTTCAAAACCTCTATATTGGAGCCAAGTAAGAAACTACTTACAACAACTAAATATAAGAAAGAAGAATGGATGACAGAGCAAATGTAAAGAAATAGAAGAACTTCAAAACAGATATGACAACTTCAACCTACATAAAAAAGTCAAAGAACTAGCCGGAGTAGGAAATAGAAGAACCTCAAATATATTGCTCGACAAAAATGGAAATATTATATTGGAAACAGAACAAAAACTACGACGATGGAAAGAGTACATCGAAGAATTATTTCATGACCAGAGAGAAGCTAGTACATCTGTAGATAGCCAAACGGGAGATGTAGGTCCAGAGATAACCAAATCAGAGGTTAGTCAGGCATTAAACTCAATGAAAACCAATAAATCTGCTGGTCCAGATGAATTACCAAGCGAACTACTAAAGTTGGTCAACGAGAAAAACCTGGACATAATAGTAGAACTGTTCAACGCTATCTATACTACGGGAATCATTCCTAGAGAAATGTTGACATCAGCATTTGTGTGTTTGCCAAAGAAAGTGAATGCCAAAGAGTGTAGTGACTATCGAACCATAAGCTTAATGTCACATACCTTGAAAATTCTCTTGAAAATTATCCACGCCAGAATACACTCTAAACTGGAGCTGGATATTAGTGACACTCAATATGGGTTCCGCAATGGTATGGGTACCAGAGAGGCATTATTCTCCTTCAATGTGCTGACACAGAGATGTTTGGATGTTAACCGTCCTCTTTACGTCTGTTTTATAGACTACAATAAAGCGTTTGATAAAGTAAAACATGATCGACTCCTGGAAATTCTAAAAAATAAAAACCTAGATGAAAGAGATTTAAGGCTAATAACACACCTCTATTACAATCAGCGAGCAATAGTAAGAATCGAAAAAGAAACATCTGAAGAAATGGAAATAAAGAGAGGAGTCAGGCAAGGCTGCATTCTATCACCTCTATTATTTAACGCCTATTCTGAAGAGGTAATTCGAGAAACTCTGGAAGATGAAACAGTCGGCATAAGAGTAAATGGAGTCTTAATTAACAACATCAGATATGCAGATGATACAGTAATAATAGCCGATAGTTTACAAGACCTGGAAAGACTCATGAGCAAAATAGTCATGTGTAGTAGGGAGTACGGACTCTCTCTTAATGTCAAAAAGACAAGTTTATGAAAATTTGTAAAAACAACTATAATACTAACGAAATCTTGATAGTAGAGGGCCAGCAGATCGAAAGAGTAAAAAAGTACACTTACCTAGGAACACTTATAACAGAAAATAATGACTACACGGCAGAAATCAAAGTCAGAATCGAAAAAGCACGTTCTAATTTTATAAAAATGAAAAAGGTCCTATGTGGCAAAGATCTAACATTAGCTCTTAAAGTACGCCTAACAAAATGTTACGTATACAGTGTACTATATTATGGAGTGGAATCATGGACGTTAAATCTAGATACCATGAGACGACTTAACGCCTTTGAAATGTGGACCTATAGAAGAATTATGAGGGTTTCCTGGGTAGATAGAGTTACAAACAATGAAATACTGAGAAGAATAGGCAAAGAGAAGGAAATTGAACTTACAATTAAAGAAAGAAAGCTACAGTATCTCGGACATGTGATGCGGGGCGATAAGTATGGCATCCTGCGACTCATAATGCAAGGAAAAATAGATGGCAGAAGAAGCATCGGAAGAAGACGAATTTCATGGCTGAAGAACCTGAGAGAATGGTTTGGATGCAGCTCAAAACAACTATTTAGAGCTACTGCCTCAAAAATTAAGATAGCTATGATGATTGCCAACCTCCGTAGCGGAGATGGCACCTGAAGAAGAAGAAGTCATGATGGTTGCCAAGTAGAGGAGATGGTACAAGAAGAAGAAGAAGTCCTGTCATTATTCCGTATTTAATTCTTAATTCGACTTTAAAAAATGGAATGGGAACTTCTCAGGCTCTATTCTCACTCAATATATTTTCACAGAGAGCCCGTGATATGAATGTGGAAATATCCTCAAAATTTATAGACAATTGCAAAACTTTTTATTGCATTCATCGCCAGAATTTCTTGACATTTTCTTGAGATCTTCAGTCCAACGAGTAGGGAGTCTTCCCCTACTTCTTTTGTCTAACCTTGTCCTCCACTCAAGCAATCTCTTCACTCACCTTTCATCACTGCTTCAGGCGACGTGTCCGGCCCAGTTCCATTTCAGTGTGGCAATTCGGGAAATTACATCGTTACGTAAGTACGGGTGAAAAGCTATACCTCAGAAGAAATAGCCATAAAAAAAGGTGTACTACAGGTATGCATATTGTCTTAAGGCACAGAAAGAAGAAATAATAAATGATATAAATACCATTAGTTCTCCCAAAACATTAATTTGTTAAAAATATACTTCTATAATTAAACTTTGCCAATGTTAAGTCGTCAATGTCAGTGAAAATTGATGGTCACTACATTACAAAATTCTTATTTATAAATAATTTCACAGCCATCGCTAATTTCGATTTTTTCGATGGCTTTATACTAAAAACAAAAAATATTATATGATAAAAGAATAGTAAATGCATACCATTTGGAGCAATGTAATATTGGTAGAATCCTCGCCATTCTCTATCGGTCTTGGCCGCAGCAGACTATTATGCAACTTATCTAATTTGTTACACACAGCTACTAAATTTTTCTTCTCCCACTTAAAAACTAAATCGATGTATTTCCTCCTAATTCGAGTATAACTATTATATAAAAAATTTAGAGCATACTTTTCGTCAGATTCTGTAGAGTTTTCATCGAAACACGAAGGTCTATTTTTGCCAGTGAATGTTTCAATTGGGTCCGGAAAAGCTTCTAAAAACCTTTGCAAATTAAAATTGTCCTTATAATTTGCCACTTCTTCTTTGTGTTTTTTGTTCCTAGAACAGATAATAAATTTTAATTTTGTCAATTTATCATTATTTTGTAATCAAAGATTATTATATTTTTTTAGTAAGCTACATACTAACTTCAACTTACAAGATCTAAGTTAAAGTACCTAATATTGTTTATAATACCAAATTTTACTTTACAATTTTTACGTTGTTTATTTTTTGTCAGTATGTCACAATTTATACTCTCAAATCAAAACTAAAGTGGATCATTATTAGATAGAATTTTAAATGAAAATTTTAAAATTAGGATAAAAATATTTTGGTATTTTCAACAAAAAAAACAGAAAAGCGCTTTATACTTCTTCGTGCCGATTTTCTTGAATATAACCTGGATATTCAGTCATCCAACAGATCTCAAAAATTACCGACCCATAAGTTACACCACCTTTCATCATCATCTTGGTGCTACAGCCCCTAGAGGCGCTCAACCTTCTCAAGCTTTCTACGTCATTCTGTTCTGGTCCTTGCTTGCATTTTCCAGTTGATCCAGACTCCGATCTTCTCCGCATCTTGTGTTACCCCATCCATCCACCTCAGCTTTGGTCTACCCCGTCTTCTCATTCCCACGGGTTGCGCTGTTAGAATCTTTTTTATCATGTTCGATTCAGGGGCCCGGGCTACATGTCCTGCCCACTGCAGGCGGTTGAGCTTAATTATATTGGAATATCTTTACCACCAAACGTATGCTTGTAGATATTTGCAGTTCAAAGTTATATCTACGCCTCCATATTCCGTTCTCACAGAGCGCTCCGAATATCTTGCGTAGCACCTTTCTTTCAAAAATCGATAGAGCGGATTCATCTGTTTTAGTTAGCGTCCATACCTCTGATCCATATGTGAGAAGAGGGACTATCAGTGTTCTATACAGCCTTATACGAGTTTTTTGAGACAGACGTCTGTTAGCTAAGTACTTTGATAGACCACTGATAACACCTGTTTGCAATTATTATTCGCCTTTTTATTTCATTTTTATTATTGGGGTTAACCGATGTCCCTAGATATATGAACTCTTTGACTGCTTCGAAGTTTTGGTTATTGATGATTAAATTTGCGTCAACATTTCCAGCCCTTGTGTTTGTGTTAGTCGCCATAAATTTGGTTTTATTTTGATTTATATGTAACCCCATTCGTTCTTGTTATAATGTCCACGTCATCTGCATATGCTAGAATTTGGACTGATCTATCTAAACCACCTTTACTAGTGAATAATAACAAATAGACTAAAAACAAAATTATATTTTTACCCGTCTAAGAAACATGCGGGTTTTAGAAGAAACTTTGTCATTGATGAGCACCTACACTGCATAAAAAGGATTATTGAAAAGTCCCTCGAATACAACCGACCATTGATCCTGACTTTTCAGCGTTGAAGGAAAGTCGCATAGGTTATCGATACTCCAAGCTGATCGGAAACATATACAAGAATGCAACCATGACCGTAAGATTACACAAAGATATAAAATGAATAAAAATCAAAAGAAGAATCAGAAATGGAGACACGTTATATCCCAAACTCTGTACCGCAGTTCTGGAACATGCTTTCAAACAGTTGGAGTGGAACTACTAAGGAATCAACGTGTCGACATCGATGAAATACTATTCCATCTGCATAGTTCCGACATAGTTCTTTTAACTAATACCTTCAAAGAGATTAAACTATGCTTACTGAGTAAGATACCGCCTGTAGGAAGTTGGTTTAAACATAAATTTTTAAGACACAATACATAACAGAAGAAGAAGAAGAAAGGCACAATGGATGAAATTCTCGCATATGTATGAATACAAAACCACCGGACAGACTTTTTCAAAATTTCGCAGGGACTAAATTAGGGAGATGGGCTGGCCTCAACTTTGTTTAACTTGGTACTGGAGTATGCGGTAAGGCATTAGTAAAGCATGGGTCCTGAAAGAAACATCCAGAAGCAAAGTCCACACATTCGAAAGAAAAGTACTGAGGAGAATACTAGTATCTGTGAGGGAAAACGGAATCTTCAGAAGTCGATAGAACAACGAACTTTATCAACTTTATAAGGAAGCACCACTGTCAGACTTCATTAGAATACAAAGATTGTAATGTCCCGGACATGTGATAAGAATGGGAGAGGACAGGCTACCAAAAAGAGCACTGAATGCTAAAATGCAGGGAAAGAGACCGGTTGGAAAGCCAAGAAAGCGCTGGGAACACACAGTAAACAGCGACGCACAAGCCCTTTTAGGAATCCGTGTATGGAGAAGTTCAGCCACAGACAAGGAAGGATGGAGACAAAAAATAAAGGAGGCCAAGGCTCAATTTGGGTTGTAGTGCCCTAAAAGAACAAGAAGAAGGTTCGGATACTACTTTCTTGTGGCATGTCTAATTTAAATATGTTTATATGGGATTATGCGACAATTGTTGATCGTAATGAAAATCACATTTTTAAATAACTAGTGTTTGACGTTTCGTTTTCCACTGCGGAAATCCTTCTCAAAAAGATTATTATAAAAAATTCTGGGAAAATGTATAATCAAAGTTATTTGTCATTAAGTTATATAATCTAATGATTAGTCGAAACAGAACATGTACATCTAAAAATAGATATTATAACCTATATGTATATTAAAAACCAAAATTACTTAAGATAATCCTGCATTGTAGGGTAGTTGTGATCTATAATAGCTTCTCCTAAAAACTGGTCTAAAGCTTCTTGAGGCAACTTTGCGAGCCTACAAGCTTCATTTTGTAAATAACTGGGATCCGCATTTGGCAGAGCTGCCTGAAGCTGTTCGGTAATAATTATAGGATCAGGTTTCTTTGATGGTAAGTCACCTGCAATTAAAAAATAAGCAAAATTAAATCTTATGAACCATATTTTGTAACAAAGGTTCGTAAAGATTCAAAAATTATTTTAAAAAGCATCCAATATAACAAATATTGTATTAACTATTATTGGATAAGAGAGAAAATAACGATAATTATTACGTGTCCTAACAACTATATAATGGGACAAACTAAAATGTATGCAAAATTCAAATGATTGACAGTTTATTTTCTTTTTGTCATGTTTTTTAATGTAATACTATTTCACTAAGTTAATTACTAATAATATAGGTTCAACCAGAAACACAAAAGAAAATATAGTTTTTCCAACAGAACTAATTAATAATAAAGTATATTTATTTTGTTGACAGCTAAATATTGGAACATAGGACAAACATTTTTTTTAAATGGAATAGCATCACCTTTAAACTATAGGCCGCTAGAATTCGGTTGGGCATTTACTCGCTTTATACGCAATTTACTGCTCTATTTTGGCTTTAAGTTCGTGTAATGTAGGTTGTGGATTATTCATTAGTGTCTGTTTGATTTTATGCTATACTGTTTCAATGACAGTTAGGTCAGACTGTTAGAAGGTCAAAAAAGGATATTTATATTGTGGTTTCCAAACCATTTGTTTGTTTCTGGCCATATTACGGAATTCTAACTGACCCAGCAGAAATTTGATGTAGTTTCCAGACATTAGTCATGATCATGCCAAGAAATTTTTGCATACGAACTTCTCAGTTCCTATCGCCTTTATGTTTTTTTTTTCAGATATATCATTAGTTAATATGTCATGAAATATTTTAAAAGATCAAAACTACTTTAGCTGCGAGTGGTATTCCTTTAGTATTTTCAGTATCATTTAGCTTTTTTCCACAATAAATGCCAAAACCATAACACTATCCAGTGGAACCAGTTTTTATCAAATTGAGATTGTGGAAACAGAATTGTTCTAGAATTTTATCTGCTAAGAGTCTAATTTTGTACATACGATCTTAATACTCTAAAGCTATATAAGTACCTGTCTCTGCTCATAGCATTTTAAACACAGAAAACTTCTAGGTCCTCATCTAATGACCAGTATAACCTTTCTCGTGGTAATCTGTTATACCCAGTTATACATAATATTGCAAAAAATGTTTGCATTTCATTTAGGGATATTGTATAAGTGATTATGTTTTTTTGCCGTTCGTATAAAATTGACTGGTCATAAATGTATGTAATAATTTCTTCATTAAGTAATTTTCCAAAAATTTGAATTGGTGATACATTCCTCAAAGCTTCTTTAACGTTTTTCTTCTCATCTTTAAATTATATTTTTAAAAGTGAAACTGGAACAAACCATGAAGTGGAGATATCCAGGAGTGGCTAGTATACCTGTTGAATAAAAAGCACGTGGTGTTCGTGTGTATTAAGGTATAAAAAAAGCGCTTATTAAAAGCTTAAAATTTTTATTATAAAGAAGATCTTTTCGGAATTGTATCATTCCATCATCAGTTTACTAAAAGAGAGAGTAAAAATACCAATATTAAAAACAACAAAGTTAAAATTTGAATATACAAAAAGAGAAAGTTGGTTTTTTACTACTTACATAAAAAGTTGTTAAAAAACATTGTGTGGCCACATAAAAAACATTCGGTGGACATCTGGATTTAAAAATAATCTTCATGTTATTTATTCAGGTAAATGCAATAGACTCTTGAATTATGTAATATTAAAAAATGAAACTGGGGGCATCTTAAATGATCCCCTGTAGTTGGTGAGGTTTTATTGACTTACATTACCTACACCACCAGGGGATCATTTAAGATGCCCCCAGTTTCATTTTTTAATATTACATAATTCAAGAGTCTATTGCAATTTGCGAAGGATACCTTCTTTGCGAAGGTATCAGGACTACTTTTCGACCACCCAAGAAAATCTCACAATATCTACCCTCTCCTAAGGACCCATTACCGCCCCTATCTTCCTGTGGTGTCTATTCTATTCCTTGTTCATGTGGACATGTGTATATTGGCGAAACTGGTCGTTCCGTCAAAACTCGGATTCAAGAGCATCAAAGATGCATTCGATCAGGTCTTTTCTCCCATTCTGCAGTTGCAGAACACTGCCAAGAAACCGGTCATTCCATATTGTTCGAAAAAACCCATATTATTTCTAAGAGCCCCTTCTTTTATTCCAGGAAAATCCGCGAATCTCTAGAGATCCGAAAAAATCCACATAACGTCAATCGAGAGGAAGGATACTACTTGTCTCCCATCTGGAATCTCAGTCTAGAGCCTCCGTCCGGTCCCGCTACCACGATGCAGCCACATGATTGGCCAGCGCGCGCTTCTTGACGTTCGCGCCACGAAGTGTGCCGATACGTCCCGACACGACAGGTCACCGCGACTATAAATAGAGCGGTAGCGGAGTAATCGTCGGATTCACTCCCCGCCTCTCGACGCGTTAGTGTTCTGAGCTGTTGGACGTGAATCCCTGTCCTGGCATTGGGTTTTCACCTCTGGCTGCGTTGAGTAGTTGAGTTACTGTGACCAAATGCCCATCTTGGTAGTTAGTATTCGCCTCTGGTTGCGTTGAGTAACTGAGTGACCGTTGCTAACTACCCATCTTCCTGTCTTTTGTTTTCTTTTTCTTGTTCTCCTGAAGAAGCTACATACAATTGTAGCGAAACGTCGAGATAAACCCACTTTTGGGTCACTCACAAATGACACGGTCCAAACCCGGAAGACGAATAAATTATAATTCTGACTCTGGCCGTGGAAGCCTACGATCTCAGTATGATAGTGATGTCATTGTGTGAAAATCTGCGGACACAAAGTACCAAATCTGAAAAGTATGTAACTGATAGTCCGGCAAAAAGTGAAAATTACGTAATAGTGTGAAAAATTCCAAATAATATAACATGTTTTTGAAGGGGAATGCATGTTATATACAAGCAAACATTTTTATGTAAGTAATGGTTGTTATTATTTACATGAATATGAAACAAATGTTGCATTGTTTTTTATCTTTTAGTTAAATCTTATCTAAAGCGTTAATAAACATGTACTTAATATTAAACAATAGTAAAATGTAACTATTTTTATCAGATCTATAATAATTACATATCTATATCTGTCTATTAAAGAAACAAGTATTTATAATGTATTATTCTGTATTCAACTATATGTATCCGCTTATTAGTGAAATTAAGTTAACTACATCTACACAGTACTGAATACGGCTCTGATTAGAATGACTAGTAGCAACACATGCTTAAGAGTGCTAACACTGATCTGCATAATCCAAATGTTCCGTTCTTAACGTAAAATAAAATTTAGAACAATTTAATTTTATAAGTAAAAAAATAAGTAACTTACGCATCGATAATTCACCAATTGCATCTTCTATATCAAAAAATGTTGGTTTATTATTCACATACTGATGTAAGTAATCTTCTTCAACGTCGGGAAAAATAGAAATCAAATTTGAAAATAAATTATTTGCTACAATGTCTACGTTTGGCATGGGTCCAGTGGCTCCGTCGCCAGATAGTAGATTTATCATGTTTTCTATTTTTCCTTCAAACACATCATAAGGATTTTCACGTTCAACAATTTCAATAATTTCCTGTAGCATTTGTTCATTTGTTCGAGGAAAGATTTCTCGGAGTATTTGAAGATAGGTTCTATTTATTTGAGCTTCAGCCATCTTGAATATATCTGTTCAAAACAAAACAATAATGCAATTAAGAAGACATAAATAAAATAAAATAATAGAAAAGACAGTTAAATTTGATTTTAAGAATAGAGTGCATATAATTCGCTTATACATATTATGTACTTTCTTCACTCACATTTTGAGTATAAAAAACCAGTTCACAAAAGGTTCTTGTCTGGATCAATCGATATGTCGTGGAATGCAATTAAGTAGTAGAAGGCACAGATTTAGGAAAAAATCTGAATTTTGGTTTCGAACACCTAAAAATCTTCGGATTTCTACTTTTTGTTATAAAATAAAATAAGTTTCAAATAGATTTCTTTCTTTTAGATGTTTACGGTACACTAAGAATTCCCAATACGTTTTGATCAAAATTTAGTGGTAATAACATCGATTTAATTGTTGAAAATCATACCTGCATACTGAGAAAAATCTGCAGTTTCTACCAAATTTGTTTTGTTTAAGAGTTCTGATCTAAGAAATTTGTGATAATTGGTGCAGTGCTCTTATCTTTTTCGTTTTTGTTTCCTCAAAAGCAATTACTATTAAAACAAATTAACGATTTATCCGATAAGCTCCGTCTGATTTGGAATATTTACCAGTGGCGTGCTACTGTCCTAAATCTTTAATTTTTAATTTGTCGATTATCATGGATTGTGTTGTTTGTAAAATAATAAATAACAGACCACATACATGTTATATCTGCCAGAGGGGTACGCACAGGGATTGTTCGAATCTTAGTGATAGTGAACTAAAAGTTATTGATCTTAAGGGAACCAGATTATTGAAGTATTACTGTGAAGACTTGAAAAATTGGTGATTTCCAAAACGAGCTGCAAGAAGTGAAAAAATGTGCTGAAGGTTACAACAGTAATGGTAAAATATCATTAAGTGTTAAGGAAGATTTCATTAGTGATCATTTATGGATAGAGAGAGAAGAGCTTCGAATATTATAGTTTTTGAGTCCAGAATAAAATTCTAGCCTCACCATTGAGGGCTAGAATTTCAAACACCAGTAAAGGAAATAAAATGGATAAAAAAATGGAATTTGCAAAAAATGGAATTTTCAATACCTTCAATTGAGTTCAAAAATGATTCAAAGTTTGCAGTCTAGGTTTGGCAGAGAGAATCTCCAGATTGAACTTTACATTAGAGTGTCAACTTCTTTCACTTGAGACTTTAAACAAAACTCCTGATAGTTAGCGGCGATAATGTATTCTCTTATTGAGTATATTTGCCAGAAGATATGATTCGACTATGTCATCTTATGTTTCTGTGTCAATGGAAAATATGAATCTGCAAAAATTACAACTTTAGAAACAAGATTGAGTGGGCTAATGAGCTTTTGACAGAGTGAAGTTCAAAATGAACAAAAATTTTATTAGCAACGGAAGGTTTTCATTTACCAGCTAAAAATGAATATAAATTCAATAGCCTTGTTGTCAAGAAAAATGTAAAATTACAAAGAACTGAACTGATCCGCCCTTAGCGTCCGCTGCTGGGTTAATAAATTATTAATTTTTTAATTTAATTAGGAAACAAGACAACAATGTCGCTTGCTCGTTGGCAACAATGTCGCTGATCAAGAGAATTAAATTTCGGGAAAATCAAAATATTAGAATATGATGCATGTACTGCCATCTACTCAAAGAATCGTTAAACGTTAGTTTATTTGAATGCCACTCATTTTAACTGCGGCGTGAACATACCCCCTTAAGATCAATTTAATATGAATAGTATTTTCCCAATAATTAGGTACGTATGGCTCTGAAAACTTGACCATTGCAACAGCTGATAGAAAAAGAATCAACAAACAAAAATAAATCTCACTACTCTATTTATACTTTACACTTTTTATAGAGTATGATTTAATTATTTATTTGCATTCATAACCACCAAAAAAAATAGGGTAAGTATAGCCACAAAAACACATTGTTATATACTTTAATTTAGAACATTTTATGTAACACATCAGTTAATCAATCAGATAAAAGATTTTACTATTTGTTATGCTTTCATTATCATCATCATCAGTGGCATCACAGATTGTTATGAGCTAAAGCCTTCTTCAAAACAATCCTCCATTTATCCCTGTCGCTGGCAACTCTTCTCCATGCTGTAATTCCTATAGTTAACTAGTATCAGATTGTCTATTATGTGTCACTAGTTGGTCAGTGAGCATAGTATGGTCCTAGTACAGCTTGTAATTGTCATTCTCAAGCATACTATCAGGAACATGTTGATAATAAAGAAGATAGTTTGGGAAAGTTTCAGTTAGCTTGCTAGTTCTTGATGAATATCTTGGCTACTGAGTCTTGCTGTTTTTTAATAATTAGTTCTGACAAATGCCTAGCAGCATCCAATGAGATGTTGAATATTCTTGAGTTTTACCATTTGTTTTTTTTTGTATATCTGGGGGTCTTTGATGATACATTTCAGGTAGTTTTTTTAGAGAGGTAGAAATCCTCCCTTTCTGCAAACATATTTCCTAATGTCAACCAATAGTTTGATGTTGGTGTCAACCAATAGTCAACATAGTGCTGGGTTACATCAATGGGTACCAACTGTGCAGAGGTTTTTCCAAACATATGCACACTTTTTCATCCTTTAATTGACAATTTGTGGACAATATTTTTATTATTATTATTACTATTATAAGTACTTAGTTGAAACGTTACTAAACATAAACAAAATGGGGACCACTGACAACTGACAAACAGCAAAAAATGAGAGAGAGATCCCTGAAAAGCCTCAACATTCATAATTACTAAGCATCTATAACGGTTACCATCCCCTAGTATATTAAGGTTTGTTTTTATTTTAAATGGCATGTTCCACTGAATAAATAAATAGTTGCAGAATAACAGTGTGATAAGAGCATCCATCTAAGAAAAAAAATATCTCTCTCTTTCATCAAAGAAAGTCCTATTGTCTTCCTGCAATGATTGATCTAGAAAACTCATTTTTGTCAAATATAATAGTGTCAACTAATTGAGTAGTAGTGTCAAGAGGTACACGAAAGTAAGTATGGAACTTTTAGTTAACATGTTAGTAGTAAATTCATACATTTACATACGAACCATAACAAAGGAAAAAAATAAATACAAGATCATTTTAACAACAAACCCAGACATGGAAGAGAGGATGTTATGAAGAATTTTAAAAGAGTAAAAACATCTTTTAATGTACATAGACAAGTTTTTAAGTATAATATAATTCATTAAATAATAGGTATAAGGCAAGATAGACGGAAGAAGATGGCCAGGTCAAAGGCCAGGTTATGGCTTAGAAAGCAGAGGGAATGGTTTAACTGATCCTCTGCTACCCTTTTCCCAGCTACTGCAACAAAATTAGTATAGCCAATTTAATAGCCAACACACAATAATCAAGCAAGCAGGACACAGGAAGAAGAAGAAGAGACAAGTTTGTATGCCATAACTTATATTTGTATTATAGTAGTCTACCTAGTTTATAGCAATGCTTGTGCTACTTATGATACCTTCTTTAGAGATTTTTGTGCCAAATTTCACATTTCTGTATCATATAATTTGTAAATCTTTGAATAAATTTTAAAAAATTTTAAATATCAAATGTGCTTAATTCAAAATTAATTAAACTACATTTAAAGGGTTTACCCACATATTTAGTGGCTTCAAACATGTACATCTAGATAGCACTGATGATGAAATAGTTATTCCGAAAACGTTCTGTGATGTCTTCCAATAGGGTTTTTTATTAATATACCTTTTGTAAACAAAAAGAAAAGGTTAAAAAACTTGGAAAATAATAATTAATAATAAATAATTAAGAAATTCACAAATCAAAAAGAAATTATGATCATTGCTAACCTCATAACAAAAATTGTATTTAGAGTATAGGAGTAAATAATTTTACTAGGAAGTAAACTTCTAGATCTTAAACAAATTGAATCCAAAGACATCAAATGTATCAAATCATTAAAAAGCTGAGGGTAAGAAGATCAATTAAAAGAACTGCACAAAATAAATGTAAAGCAGATAAGGGAAGTAACATAAAAGTAAAGGAATGGTTCATTTGTTCTAAATTGCTAATATTAAAATCATACAGCAAGCAAATAGCAAAAATTGTAGTTAAAGAGATTCATGATTCATTGTAGAGAGAGATGTAAAACAGGACAAAAGTATATTTCATCTATCAGTATAAATTATTTTTGATGTACAGTATTTAATCATAAGTGATAATTTAATCATAAGAGAACTATAATATTGTGATCAGAACTTATTGAATAATATCACTGGATAGTCACTTACCTATAATATTGAATATCCTAATTGATTCACACCTAATTATTCAATACAATGGATTATGGATAAGAAAAAAATTACCACAGGTCTTGTATTGGTATGGCAACTGAGAAACTTAATTTAGGTCAGCCAGTATGGGAACTACCGAGATCCGCTTAGAGATAATTTATTAAAGAAATCACAGCATCACTAGGAAAATCCCATGTATTACATTGATTCACGAAAATCTAAATTGTACCTGATCATCAATATATAAATATCATGTATCACTTTCCCGCTGAGGAACATAAATATTGATGGAGATGGAGTATTCTGTGGATGATATTTATATTTACATTCTACATCACTTCTACATGATTTCTGCTATCAAAATAATCAAAAATCAAAACAATGAAGGATTTCCTTGTCTAAAGAACTATTATATATCATGCTGTCTTCTTCTTAGATTAAATATGACAGAGAAATGACAATATATGACAGTTGACATTGCGATAATGTTAATAGAAATGTATGGTTCTGTAATTACATATTAGAATAATGTGGTGTTAAACCACAATTACTTGTAATAGAAACTAATTTTTTTTATTTGTTTTAACTTTTTGATTTCGGTTGAGTTTACCGATAGAAAGCCATGCCAAATCAACAGACTAGTTTTGAAGTTTTTCAGCACGCGCGCCATGTTTTAGGAGGACACAAACATATAGATTTGTGAGGTTATGCTTGTTTACATTTATGTTTAATTATATTATATTTATGTTATTATATTTAAAACTGTTAATATAATTGTATAGTATGTCTATGATTGCCGTAAGTCAAATAAACCTGGTTTTTTTTTCCATGCACACCACATAAACAACACATGGTTCCCTTTAAAATCCTCGTCATGAGTTAGTATGGTTTTCAGTATATACTAACTCAATGATCCTCGTAAAACATGGCGGAACGTCCTGCGGAAGGAGATGCGCGTACTTAATTTTCCGTGGAGAGTGGACATTCTGTTTGTTTATTATTCTGTGGCCATGTATAGCCGCAAATGTCAAACATGGAACAGAAAATTTTCAGTTTAGCAGTGTTGACATGTTTTTATAATGTATGCTGTATACTTGAAATATAAAGTGATAAACCCAATGACGTATAATATTATCATACGTTATATATGACGTATAATATTATTATACGTCATTGGATAAACCTTTTGATTATGAGCATAGACAAAAAATTATGAGTACATTTTGTATGTTATGAATTCCGCAATTTTTGATTTATATAAAACAAGAATGAGTAAATAATTGTTTCTTTTGATTAATTTCAATTAATTATTAGAATTCTTTTTTGGCAATTGCTCTTTGATAATTAGGGGATATATTTGGTAATCGTCAAATCAGCAGTTGCCAGATTTCAACAGATTGTTGCAATTAATCTGGAAGAGACACATATTTACTCATTATTATTTCATATAAATTAAAAATGGCAGAATTCATTAAATTATATAATTAAAATGTAGTTATAAAAAGATTTATCTCTTTATGTTTGAAGCATGAAGCATCAATATGCATCCCAACTTTCCAATGCGAAAACATAGAATAATAAACAATTAGAATGCCCAATCTGCTTGAAAAAATAAGTACGCGCATCTCGTTCGCGCAGACGGAATCAGTCATGTTTTAAACGGAACCAGTCACAGACCACTAATAACGAACCAGTGCTGTTCAGTGACATTTTATCTGGTGTGCATAGACAAATTAAACCGGTTTAATTTATTTAGGTACGGCAACTACAGACATAATATGCACTATTTTATTCGTACTTTTAGTTGAATAGAATAAATTATTTCAAATGTACTAAATTATTCATCTCTAAAAATTTAAATTACAGTTCTGTTGTAGCTTGTCACAAATTTCTCAATTCGAGTCGTGATTCGAGTCTATGTTTCCGTCTAAAAAATGGAGATCGCGTGCTGACAAATTTCAAAGGCGGCATCTAAAGGTCAATTCAGACACATCAGTCACGTCTCGTCACAGTGATTGCGGCCGAACCGAACAATCCGTCATACAAATATTCTTTAATACAAATATGTTGCGGCATTCACACTAATCAGTTGACAAACAGTTTCCCTGCTGTCAGATAGTTGATAGTTCTGTGACCAAATAGGACCGGTTCGGCGCCGAGACTATGACGGGACTGATGTGTCTGAATCGGCCTTTAGAGTGTGCATGCTGATTGTTGTAGGTTAAAATGACAACTGCAGCGTTGCCAGGATCACAATATTAATAGATGGTTTATGAGTTTTACATGTGTTCTATGAGATAATTCAAATGTATAATCCGACAAGCGAGAGCTGGCGGGTGACCTGCTCGAAAATAGAAAAGAAATTATTCGAAGAGAGATAGGAGAGGTACTTAATCGCGATTATAGGTATATAGTATAGGTACTTAAACGGTTATACACGATGTACACGATGTACATGACTTAAACGGTGAACACTTTTCAATTTCTTCTACGCGCAACCCGCCAGCTCTGGCTTGTCGGGTTATAATAAGTTCATAAAAGTAATAAGCAATAACACAAATACCTGAATACCCCTT